TTCTCTATTGGGATTCGCGTACATTAACGCTTGAAATCATCCCTCTTGTTCTTGATCAAATTATACTGACTATTTGAAAAATTAAAATGCTGTGGACAAGTTCACTTTCAAACTGCAAAAATTGCCAAAGACGTTTTGCTCTATTTTTGCTGAGCTTTTACATTTTTACAGTCATTCGATTTTGCTTTCGTTTTGTAAGTGATACTGAGCAAAGAGTGGTCAAGTGCAGACAAACACAAATATGATCACAATAACCTTTTACGTGATTGTGATTGGATGCCTCCATTTAACCTTTAGATATATTCGATCATGTTCACAAATGCTATCACTGTTTATTCGTTGATTGACGTATTTCAGCATTAATTCCTGTCGAATAATGCGGTTAATTTGGGCGGTGCCGCAGTCGAAATGTATCGCGCAACTGGAACCAGTGCGTTTCGAATTATACATTACTGTAGTTGAATTTTACAAAACTTCCGCGAAAGTGGAAGGGGAACTGGGGGAATTGCTCGACTGCAAATACACTGCAGACTTGCGCAATCTGTCGGCTCAGCTTAGGTGTCGGCGACCTGCGGGTCGAGCAGCCCGCAGCTGACCATATCCTAATCGACTCGGCTAAAATCCTCTAATAACCGGGTAGCGGTGATGGCTTTGGTGTGCTCGAGCAGCTGAAACACCAAATAATCCGATCTGTGCGAAAACACAGGCCGTGTAGACCACCTGAGAGGACAACCTATTAGCCTAGAGGGCTGGACTGTTTCCTTGTCTGATCTGGCAATTATTGGTACTTGAGGTGCTAGCAGAACATATATTGTGCAAGGTGGTACTTTCTCAGGTCGATAGAATGCCTTCAAGAAAGTCGAGTGATAGCACATTTTGATGGTAAACATCACTTTTGAGATCATCTTCCAGGTAACTTGAGTATATTCCGTTGACTTTGCACACTTATGTAATTTTTCAGTTTTCCTTATTCTCACTAATCCTTCTACCACCGCCACATAGTCTTGCATGTATACTTATTATCCCTATTAACACTCATACTTGCAATATTAAATTTCCAACCAATATCCAATCCGAAATTTTCCAGCTCTCATTCTCAGACACAATTTTGGCAGTTAGATAACTCACAAGGTTATTGACTTATGTCAAATAATCCTTTGCAGTCGTTTATTACGCATTTGCTTTTTTTTATCGACTTATATGAATCCGCATCTTCAGTAGCGTGTTGTCCTGTCAAATGTTCTAATTTTACATAGTGTTGGGCTGAGAACTGCCTCATATGTGAAACCTAGTTAGAACTCCTCATATGGTGGTTCCTCAACTGGTGGTTTTTCTCGACTTCATCGTGACAAAAAATTTGACAATTCCTTCTCCGCTTGCTATTAATTCTTGAAAATAGGTACACTCTTCATGGGTTTAATCTCTTTTACCTACTACATATTACGAAGTAAATCGTGTTGGTATCAATACAACAGCCTCAAGTAACATCCCTATTTACTCGCAGTGCCGAGTTCGAGTTACTTCTCCTGGTGACTTCAAGTTCTTAAAAATGAACGAATTCGCAGTGTATCCATATCAGAGAATTGCAGAACTGTATCCATCTAGGCCAGTAAGGTTTGTGACCCTAACTGCTGTTATGAATTTGTGACCGCTGCCAAATTTACTTCAAATTTCTGCAAACTCTATATGTCATACGGCAAGTACGAATTTTGCCGAGAAGTTTCTGAAATCTCAAACTTTTGCATCCTTAAATGCTGTAGCGACATAGCATATAATTGTAAGTAAATTGCGCTCTTCTTTTGGAAATGTTGTTTTACCCGGAGTCTAGTCTTATCAAATCCGAATTGCACGTACTGTAAAATTGTGAGTCTTCCCATTTTTCGTTGAGCACCAAGAAGCTTTTTTTGGGTGCTACTTCTGGTTCAGCCATTCAAATGATACGCGCATGCCTGTAATCGCTATGAAAATATGAAATGAATGGGCTAAATCGGGCTTTTCATGAGGTATAGACCCATCATCTCTCGTGATAAGCTGTCAGAAAGTGACGCCAGCTTAGTTTTTTCCAAACTTTTATTTTCTGAGCTTTGTTTCAACTTTTCGTCAGCACTTCTGCGAAGTCACGCAGCCAGCACTTCTAGTCGAGATCAGTCCGCACTTTTCCGCATCTCGAGAGCCCTCCGGCTCGACTGCGGTGAGTGCAGCCAGCCGGGCGGCTTGGCGAGTGTTTCGACGGGCTTCGCCGCTGCTCGGCGGCTCTCCGGACAACCACGGGGCGCGCGGATCGCCGTCGTCGTTCCGGGTGTGTTATATGCCCTATATATCATGGCACTGCTATTGCCTTTTCTCCTCATATTTACTACCGACGATAAAAGGCGCATTTTAACGACGTTGCGAAGCAGTTACTACGACATTTGCCGCGCAATGCTTCGTGGCGCTATGTTTGCAGGAAAAAATGCGCGTTTATACTTTGATTTAGGGTCATCTCCTCTTATCTGTCATGTTATTCTCCATGAGTTATGGTTTTCTATGATTCACGAAAATATGTGAGGTGTGTAGTGCACTTATGCACTTATGCGAGATCTTGCTCAGCGTCTCCGATTATGGGCAGGCCTGTCTGTGAGAAACTGCAACATTATTTCAGAATGAGTCATTCTTGCCACTGCAGTGTACGATCGTGATTAGAAATTCTTTCTGTAATGACAAAGTCAGTATCTCCCTTGTGCACTTCTCAGATTTTCCAGAATATTTGCTCTGATAGGGGTTGCTGCAGAAATTATTTCCGTTGAAAATTGCGAGTGTTTGTTTTTGGCTTTTGTGCTATAAAAAGCAAACGCAAATAATATATAGACTAGGAAACTTTTCGCTGTTTTTGGAATCATCTATGGGTGCTTAGTAGAGGTGGTAATATCTCTAAACTATATTGTTTATGAAAAATTTCAATTTGCATGGTTTTTGGTGTAACATATTCGCCTTCAGTAATTGGAAAATGAATATTTCAAAGCATCTTTCACTAGAATTCCGGAGCAGAGCATATGCTTAGATTGTCATTAGCGCTAATATGAGTTTTAAGCGTTTAGTGGTGCCGATGCAGATAGTCACTTTTGCATAGTATATTAGAGTTTTGGGCATTTCTAGCTAACTTTTCATGATGTCAAACTTTGTCTGTAAACTCTAAATTTGAAATTTGGATAGTTATCTGGATCCAGCGCACAATTTTCTTAGATTTTTCAAAACATTTTCTGGTTAATCGTGATAAATAACATCTTACTAATAATTGAACTGATAACTCATTCAGATTTTGAAGCATTACGAAGACGAAATGTTTTCAGTATCATATGATAAACGAGCTCATGAGAACCTTCGTGTTTGACCATTTCATGGATTTATGTAGAATTCTTTGTTAGTGACTTTTCTTGGAGCCCATGTAATGGTGGAAGCGGATAGGATACTTGGAGCTAAGATTGAGCTTTACACATCCAACATCGCGTAAGATATAAGTCTATCCGTTAAGAATGCGTCAAAGAATTTGAGCCGAGACACAAATAAATTCAGAAATCAATGGATCAATTTGGATCAGTCTGTTTTCTTTTAAAATTGCGAATGAAATACGCAAATACAAATCAGACATCCGCCTTTGTTAATACTTTGAAGTATGTTATTTATACTGCTAGACAAGAATTCGGCCGCAACTCATCGAGACATCACAGGCGGCTTTACCTTGTGACGCACAGCTTATTATCAGATTACTGTATTACTGTAAGTGCACAAGAAACAGGTAAGCTGACGGAAACTTGTGTAGAGGAATCCTGTAATCGGCTTGAGAACTGCACCTTTTTGCGTCACTGCAGTTTATTTTAGGTTTGAATGTTATCATCCAGTTTCGGTTGTGAAGTTGTAGTGGTCCGTTTCTATATTTTACAATGTCTCACTGGATTTTCGCCTGCTTTTGGCAGAATATCAACTTTTGACTTTTCTAGTCGACCCTGCCTGGATTTTTGCCTACTGTGTCGCACGTATGTCGTTGTGTGCGCATAATGCGGCTCTGTATTCGCTCTTCATGACTCTTTACGGATGATTTAAGGATTGTTGGATTGTTTTAGTGGATTTTGGCTTCTATAGCTGCTATATACTTTCTTTTATGGGCTCGCAATATCGTACTCAACGGCTTGCTTCTCAGTTGGCGATTGCGAGTTTTTGGCTGTGCGGTTCCTTTGCTGATTTTTCTGCTCTTTGAAATGGAAAGGGGGAGGGGGAGGGGGAGAGAATCATAAAAAGTCTTATCTAATGTCTTTTGAGTAGTTGTTCCAATTATCTCAATTTGATACGCAAATACATGCTCCAAGGTCCTCATCAAGTGGTATGGTCAAGAAAAATGATTGTAACCCTTAAAATATGTTTTTGTAAAAGCTCTCGATAAAAGTATGTGTAAGCGCAGGAAAGAGCAAGTATGCGGCTACAAAATTTTCCATATCATCTGCTTCAGGAGTATTTGTACTTTTCAAACTTTCACTTCGAAGGGAAAAGGAACAGGAACACCCATTTTCTTGCTGACTATCGTACTCTACCATGAGCGGTTGGTGAATATAGTATTAGTGATGCAGCGGGTTCTGAAAACTTCATGATTTTGTCTTTTACAATATCGTTGGACAAAACAGTGGGTGCAGCACATAAAATTCATAGATTTTCATTAAAGTTATTGGGATTTACGCATTCGAATAGAATGAATTTTGACGCAATTTTGCAAAACTCTGGAATTCAGTTAATTTGCAGCTGAGGAAACAATATGATATTATAGAATTGACAAACCTTTTTTGTGCCTTCTTAGCTTCGAAGTTTCTTCTTGAATCTGCAATTCTCTACATTCTCCTTTTCTATAATTTCCCTAATTTTCACTTTCCGTACCAGGTCTCGCCTCTCGTGTCTTGGTCACTCGTCCCAGTGCGTTATTCGGGTTACATGTCCGAATTCTACAGAATTTTCTCTCTCCGTCGAGACTAATTGTCGCGTAGACGTATTGTCACACTGTGGCGCCACCGTTTCGTCTGAGATAGACTTCGATGGGCGTGGCCGGGACGAGTTGAGTTAATTCTTGGAAGTGGCATAGCTTTCGCTTGTTCGGTATTCACTCTCGATATCTACCGTGTAGTCTTTTGTGAACTGTTCTCGCCTTGCCTTTTTTGTCTCATCCGTATTTGTACATTTTAATTTGTTTGCCTATAGTATCGAAACCCGGATATTCATGGGCGCACTTTTTCACATTTGAAATATCTTAGTGCCGTTTTTACAGGATGAGTCCTCAAACTTCGCTCATCAACCTACCAGATGAGTTGATACAAATGCTGAATAGTTTTTTGACCTATGAGGAATCAATATGTTTCACGGTAAGTTTACAAAAGCTTTGGTTACTGTGACTTTCAAGAGTGACTTCCCTGCTAAATTTTTATGAAGAAATATCCAAATTCTTGGAATAAAGTCCTTCTATCTTATCAGCCAAAAAATTTGCTAGAAGATCTGAAGATAATAATTTCTCGTGATGATTATAGTTTCCTAACACTTCAAAGTGTTTTCATGTCCTTTAAGTCAGAGAAATGACTGTGTTGAGTACAGATAATCTTACTCTTCTTCCGACTGTCACTTTCTCAGGTGTCATTATCTGATTGACACCTTTGTCAGTGCAAATCATAATGACGGATGAGGATCGGAAGTTAGGGGGTTTTGTTGTGTAAAGTCAACCAACCTAGGGATACGGTAGATCTCGTGGGAGATGACTGAATCAGAATGTTTTTGTCAGTTTGAGCCTTATTTTGCAAAGATCGGCTGATTATCAGTTCTATATAGTTTAGACTATACGAAGCAATGAATTCTGTTTCAAAAAAAAATTTTTTTATTTTAGCAGTGCTCTCGACGGCTACATCGAGCGATTCGACGAAGTGTACTTGGCTTCTATGACAAAATGCAGGTAAAGAATTTTTGTGGTTTTTTTTTTCGAGGAAGGGGAGAGAGGGAGGAAGGAAAAAGGAAAGAGAAGTGGAAATAATAGTAAAAATAGGAATTGATCGTGCTTTGATCAAGCACTAAAGTAAAGAGAGGCGCGATGCGACTTGTATGATTATCTTGATGCGGAAATCTTTAGAGGGGGATTAGGGCAGATGGAGGCACGGATTCCTAGCAAATTGCCAGATTAAATAGATAGAATCGATAATGACAGGATAATGGCCTATTTGTTTGCTCAGTCAGTAAACGAAAGTGTTAAAAAATGTGTAGGAAGGGTCATCTCGAGTTTCCTACCCATTCCGACTACGGTAACGCAATTTTTTCTTGTGATGTTTTGCCCCAGTGGCGATATACACACACACAACTCGCTAGGGGTGCAATTATCACAATTATCGCCTATGATTTGGTGCATGAACGAGCAAATTAGCTTCGCATCGATGCTCTCGAGCGCGCACAGAGTTGTCGGTGTCAATGAATATTCATAGTGTTTGGATTGGAGTGACTAGGTTTGTGTATTAATACATGAATACTTAATAGTCAAGGACTTAGGGGCTTGAAAAGTTTTGATGGATACGAAAAAATCTCGCAAATCGGAAGGATGCCTTTTAGAAGTTTCGAGATACAATCACGTGCACGAAATTGAATAATAATCAGAAAATAACCAAAAATAAACAAATAATCGGAAAATTTTGATGGGCGCTAATTAATAATGAAACATAGTAAATGCTGTTAAAATCAACTTGACTCTAATCTTTTCTTAAAGAGCAAAAAAGAGAGTTTTCCTTGATATTCAAAACTTGACTTTGATTTTTCTCGAATTTTTCGCTAACGACAACTTTTTTATGATTTTCTTATGGCGACTTCTGACTGCATAATGCTCAGAATAACCCTAAGTAGTAAACTGACGCTAATTGCTAAGTTTTGAGCCTACCAAGGCAGGTGTGACGTTTAGAAACCAGACTAATATGGAGCGATAATTAGGTGTGAATAGTTTCCCATAGGGTTTCCTGTGCAACATCTGGGAAACGTTGCGTTTTTGGTTTCCCGGGTTAATATGTTATTGTGAGGGGAAGAAAATAGGTAACGAAAGATGATATGCTGAAGAAAATTTCTAGAGACTTGTATGGTTTGGTATGGTTTGGCGCCAAAATACCAGTCTGTTACAGGAATTTGCTGTGCTAATTCTTTTTATGGCCACCTCTGCACAGTGAAAAAAAATAATTAAATACAAAGAACTCAAAATCCTAAAAGAACTGGAAACATAGATCTTTTGCAGCAGATTTGTCGTGATTAAATGCGTTACCTTCTCGATTCAGTTATGAGTGCCTTATCGCTGGATTTAGCTAACAAGTGTATTTTTAATAACTGTATGAATTTTGTTGCGAAAAGTCGCGGAAATTTTTAGGGAGTTTTTATTTGTCAAGTTTTTGCGATACACCTTTCCGGGACCTTCCCTATTCGTATTTTCAAAGTGTAATCAATAAAAACTAAGGTAATCGCTAAGTGCACAATGTTTGCTGGAGCGCACAGTGTTAATCTGGCATGGGTCAGTGCGATTAACTCTGATCCCAAGCCATTACGTTGATAGCGCGATGTCGCTAGGTAAACAGCATCGTCCGGAAGAGTTCTTATCTTGCGCAAGGAAAAACTCTTTGCCTATTGTAGCTTTGGGGATTAGAGAAGAAAGGGCAAGGAGAGGAATCTTGTAGCATCAATGAATTTTTTGAATATTTCAGCTCGGCGACGACCCAACGGAATGTCGTTTGATTGACTCGCGAGGACGTCGACGTCCACTTCTCTTCATGGCTTCATCGGCACCACGTCTTCTAAGGCTAGCCAGTAATCTAAGTGAAGTCACGATCCTTATGAAAGAAGTGGATGCGTTTAGAAATCCCTATTCGGCTACGAGTGTTGGCGGTGAGTTGTTGGAGCCTTTCAGAAGGCAAAAAGCAAACTCCGGGGATATTGTTTACCTAGCCTTATTATGTAGAGGAACTTATGGAGCCCTTCAGTATTCGCATCTCTAGCAGCATGACTTTTTGATGGCCAAAAACTAACTCTAAATTCTCCTCAAGTACTGTACCTCCAACCAATCAACGTTCCTGGGTACGGTATTGGACGAGGGCATGAAATTTTTGGACGCAATTTTCAACTTTTATAAGCTACCGATAGTTTAGCTTATGTAGAGTCTAGTTTAGTATTCGCATAAGAGTTTCAGTCACCCAATATAACCTTGATACTGTTTTCAATTCGATACTGAAGACTTATATCGCATTTTAGACTGTTCCCCTTATACACCCGGCGGCTACCTGGGTCGGCTACTTGGCCCAAATCCTCCGAATCTCCCAAATTTGAAGCAGCTATCGCTACATGTCGATGTTATGGTGGAATCTATCAGTGTTAGTTGGCTAAAAAACCCTAGGAATTCATCCTATGATAGTAATCGATTTAGGTTTCGCCACTGCCTTGTCCAAGCGAGGATTTACAATATGCTCTATACTCCCTAGCGTCAGCTCCATTTCGCACTTTTGTACAGGTAGGGGTTCCATTCAGATTGGGGACAATAAAGCATCATTAACGTTTTGCAGATAAGTTTCTGCTGCGCGCAGTTTCGGGAAAGTGATGTGGGAGCACGGAGTTACTTGATTGCCGGTATGGAACAAACACTAAAAGCGGCTGCTGAAGCCGGGGCTGATACTGAGTTTGAAGTGGAGCCGGAAGAAGGTAAGAAAGAGAACTAGAATTTGCAATGAAAACAATCCTTGGGTACCCTATAGCAGTGTCCGGACAGATCAAGGATGTCCAGATTCCGATAATTACGAAAGTAGGTCCCTTTTGTAAGCGATACCCGGGACTACATCACTTTGCTTCTGAATCGGCGCTCCAAAATCGTCGATTAGATCGCTAGGAAAACTTTCAGTTTGATTTTGTTTTCACTCAAGAAAATCGTGTTAGGACGCAGCGCAGCCAATGACAGCGTCGTTCCCTCACAGTTTGCGACATCGTCATTGGTGTCGCGTTGTTCGACATCTGCGCGTTCCAATAACACGAAATTGAGTTGATAAACGGCTGAGCCAGAAGTTTCGGAGAGATCTTTGAAAATAATTATCTGCAGTCTTATCTGAATCTGTTTTGCTCGTGAAGGATCTAAGTGTGAATTAATTGCAATTTTTAAAAGCTGCTTAAATGAGCTGTAAAACGATGCAAGAGTTGCTTTCACTAGTGAGAAAATAATTTTCGGAAGCATTCAAAGTAGCCTTATGAAAATTTTTTTGGGGCTAGTCGTCCGAACCCTTCCTACCCAGTTTTATCGCGGCTTACGCGAGTCTCGGCAATGATCTAAATAAGATACCTAAAAAAATATCACTGCTGATCTGAATAAACCTCCTCGTCCCTCCTCTCACTCCTCCTATTTGATTTATCTTATCGCAGGATTGCCATGACTAATCTTTTAGGCTACGTTGACATGACCATCGAAAAGGGCCGTGTTGAATATACATTTGCTTTCTTCTACTACAATCCATCTATTTGCGAGCCGGCACCAGCGGAAGAAATCAATGATCGACGAAAATCGCCTGTCTACGCATAGTTCTATCAGTCTATCCTCCTTTCCCCATTTGCGACCAAAAAACCATAGAGGAGCTCAGTCAATCAAAGATGCATGTTGTTTATGTGTTGTTGGCATAATTTAGTGGGTTCAATGTCCTTTGTGTTCATAGCCCGACTGTGGGCGGGGCGTAAGAATCATACGTGTAAATATTTTGCTCCGCCCATTGTTTATGACATGATTGTATATAATTTGTTGATTAGAATACATGACATTTAAAACATGGAAATGACACGTTGTTTTCAAATTTAGTTGCACAGATTTTCGTTCTGTAACGGGTTGTTATGTATGAAAGAGTGGAATAAAGTTTCGAAATTTTCAACTTTAGTAGCGTTCTATTCAGTTTTTTGAGTTACTGGGAAAATTTCAGATTCGCTTCAACAAACTTCACTTAATGACTTGGAACCGATAAGCTGTGGAAAGCTACCTGACCTATAGCATGAAAAAAGTGATAACGTGAACTGCTTAATTGGTCAGCTTTGTATGATGTTTATACATTCAAAGCAATTAAGATGATTTTCTAGCACATTGATCTTTATCTCATTTCAAAGGGTGGAGGACTATATGTCGCCGAATTTGGAAGAGTCCCGCGCGGATCCCTGCAGGAACGCATGTCCGCGCATGTATAAGGGTGCGTATTTGTCGCAAATGACCGCGGGGACCGCCCTTTTTCGGCGACATATAGTTCTCTACCCCATTTTGAACAAAGAAATAGCAATGGAATACATATAATCGATCGCCGCTCACGACATTTGAAAATTTTAAAAACAAGGTCCCCTTCGATTTTCTCGAAGTTCAAGATCTCCTTTGACCCTTTTACAACCCTAGAGCTTCGCAAAGTCTTCATGCAAAGAAGAAGGAAGGGAACTCCAAAATGAAAAATAAACGATTAAGGCGCTAATTGAATTGCTTTGATCAAGCTATGCGCAAGAAGGACGAATAGCGGAAAGGATGAAGACGGAACAACTGACGGAAGATTTAAAGCTAAATCGGGACAGATAACAAAAACTATTAGTCAGAAATCCAAAGCAACCGGCTGCTCAAAGCACATATGGTGTTGGAGTGCGATATCCAACAAAGCAATTTTTTGCGCAGTTTGAAGGCAATGTTCAAGCAAAAGCACAATTCCTTACCTTTTTTGCTTATCTGGGCTTATTCGCTGCGCTGAATGGAAAACTCCGACATAGATTTCGCGAAAACGGCGGGAACAAGCGTTCTGCAAACCTTCGATTTAAACTGGATCGAGTAGGACAATTCCCGCTAGCGCTGTGACGCAGAGTCGCTGTAGGAGCCTATCATCTTGACTATAGCGGCATACGCACTTTAGTTTGCAGTTCGAAACCGCAGGTGGGCAAGGCCTGCCTAGAGCAAAAGTCTCCCAGTTCCCAAGCGGATTTCCCTCTTCTTATTCAACCTTATGATTTTGCACTTGTGCAAGAGTGTGTTCAAAGAAATCCACTTTCAGATGAAGCTAAAGTCCCACAACAGTCAAATCATTTCATGTAATTATGTGTGCATTCACACCTTCCATCTTTGGCGTTCATATACTGGAGTTGCAATCGTAAAAACGCAAGAGACTGACCGACTGTTATCGCTTAGATCACTTTGCTTAATACTTAGTAAGGAAAGACACTGACAAGGAGAACACATCGAAGACACTTACTCAAAGGGTTGTTTGCTTCAAGAATTCAAGATGGGAGCGCCAAAGATGGACAGTGTGAAAATACACACGTGATTAAATGAAGTGACTGGATGTACCTCAACCTTGCGCGAATAGTGCCTTTTAAGTCAAAAAAAAGTGCAGAAGCAGTTTTGGTCTTGCTGAAGGTAAATCATTGAGCGAGGACAAAATCTATGCGAAAAATTTGCTTTTTCCCTCGGAAACAACAACCGGCTCGCACCTGTGTCAAACCGGCGAACCTACCCAACAACTCTTTCGAGGAAGCTAATCTCAATGCTATCTCATGGACAAAAAATTAGATTTTTGCCTTGTAACACAACACATAGAAGACTCAGAAGCAAACGAAAGCTTTGTTCAAAGTTAGGAGTACTGGTAGCGAAAGTGTTATAGCGCAGTTCTGACAAGTTGACTCTTCGACTGACAAAAGAACGAAGTGATACAACGCCTTTTAGAAAGAAATGTGATTGAAAAACGAGACCTGATTCATAAATTAAGGAGAAATATTTGCTTATTCATTTGTTGATATACATACAAGTGCGCCAAGATTGATAAGGAAAAAACAATAGTTAGTGAGCAAATTTTGATCGAAACCATCTCCTTGCTGGGCTGACCTAGTTGTTCTCCTTTGCTGGAAGGTGAGAGAGTGTCCCGCCGATCTTTTGCCAATTTCGGACGCAGTGAAATGATGGCACTCACCGGAACGGCTGACCAACTCAAGTCAGTACGTAGGAATTCTCAGGGATCCCGGACGAACGGTCAGGGGGTGCCTCAAGGCAAGGTGCTGACCAACCATTGATAACCTTCAGCCGGCTACGCTGCGAAGTCACCAGAATACCTAAACAGCAGGGGCGGTCCCAGGATTTCGGACCGGAGGGAGGAAGGGGAAGCGGCAAAATTTCACCAAATGAAGTTGCGTGGAGGTAGCCACGCCCTCCGGAAATTTTTTTGGGGTGTTTCTTAGAAATTTTGCAGGTCCATAACCACTGAAATCTTGAAAAAGGAGGCCTGGAGGCAGCCATGCTTCCGAAAAAAATTTTTTTACTAGGCTAATCTGAATTTTTAAAAAATTTTAAAATTTATTTTAATTATTTACAAGAGTAAACAAGTCACCTGCACATTTTTGCAACCTATGTAAGTAAATTTCAAAGATTTCGCCACCCATTCTCGGGAAGGCCCTTCCCCTGGGTCCGCCACTGCTAAACAGATGTAACCGAAATCAAGCACAGATGAACGAGACTTTGTAGAAGTAGAACGTCTATTTTCTTCAGCTTTCTGCGAAATTCAGTAAAGTTCATACAAGAAATCTCAAATTCATTGGTAAAAGACTCAACCACCGTCCCGTACGAAAATAAGTTAAAAGCTATGGAGAGTTCTGGCGCCTAGTTTACGGTAAATAATGGAAAAGCCTCTACTGCAATCATCAGAAAGTCTAAAGATTCAGTAGCCGCTCAAAGCGAATCTAGCTTCCAGATGGAGTAGGCGAAGCAAAAAATAAGGTTAATGCACACTTGTCTGTATTTTAAGCTACGCAGTCCCAAAATAGATTGCCTTAGTTTGTAAGGAGGTAGAAGGTATCCGGAATGAAACATGTGCAAAAAGTACTACTCTCGTAAAGATTTTTGCATTTCTCTAGCTAATCACTGTTCTTCTTAGAGAACGGGCTCTAGACTGAAGAAGCATACTCCGGCAAGACATAAGTTTTTATAGTCTTTGTACAATTTTGTTAGGAGTCTTAAATCGTTGCAGTAAATGCTTTGATAACTTAAGAGTAGGATTGAGAGTGCTTTTTCAAAGATTAACTCTACTTGAAAATAAACCGGAGTTGATCATCTACAAAAATTCCCAAGCCTTAAATGATAGCACAAAGATCCAGCTCATTATTAACGAGAACAAAAACTTGCATCAATTTCCTTTCATCATGTTCACAGAGAGACCTCATTTCTTCGACCATGCAGATATTTTTTGTATGGAAGAAGTAATAAAACAATAGGCATCATTTCGACTACTAGCGCTGTTTACACACCAGTTTAACAAACAAATTTTTTGCCGACTTATTTCAGAATATAATGAGAATAATGGGCGTCGGATATAGATACATCCATATACATTTAGATGGTGTCCAACCCAGTCTGAGACTTTGAAAATGGTGCATATTCTGAACATTCTCATTCTGATTTTGATGATTCTGGGTTTGAGCCCCAACAGCCTGATTTTGAATCTTTACCATTTAACATTGTACCGCTTATCAAATGACTTTCTAACTTCTATTTAAGAACACTGGGATCCTTGTTGAAACTTAGTTGGTTGCGATCGAGAGTTGCTAAGTAGGGAAAGTTCTATCAACATCTGTTCCTCCAAGAAGGCTTATACTCGTAAGCCTCGCCAACCCAATGCTGCAGTTTTTTAGGTACAGAAGGAAGTACTAAAGAAGTGGGGGTCATGAAGGATAGTGACAAGGACAAGAGGAGAATGAGTAAAAGTTTCTTCAAGGGAAAGAGTTAGATAAACTTTTGAGAACGGACATATCTGTGTTGAGGTAACGAGATATATTTAGAACAACCCTGGAATACCAAGAGACCACTACAGTTGATGAACTGCCACGCGGGCTTATTCGTGTTGAAGCGCACCTCAAATTTTGGTAATTAAACCGTTTATTTAAAAAACTATAAAAGAAAACCTACAAGATAACATAGAACAAAATAACATGATACTAAAACTACCTAACAAATGCAAATAAGTAGTATTACCAAATGATACAGAGGAATAACTGATAAAAAGGACATATGTGGTAAACATAACTGCTACAATACTTGTTTATCCTTTTCTACTCAATAGATTTTCATACTTGTCTTTTGTACTTGTTTTGTATAATAGTTTTTGAAATTGGAAGAAAAAGAGTACAAAAACTGTTCGAAATCCAAGTCAGAAAATATGAGTCTACCGTAACACAAGCTTATTTACCTTAATGATAGATGTTACAGGAAGATACGAAAGAAAATGCAAATTATGCAAAAGTAACAAGATTGATGAAGCAGCCGTGCTCGACGTTTCTCGAATTTATCTCGGTTATCATCTTTCGTGAAGCTGGAAAAATGACGCGCAAAGCGCTCTTTTTAAAATAAACATAACCACAAAACAAGAATTCAGCTCATAATTACTTGTGTATCGTGAAGTAATTCCTCTGTATATGGTGAATCGTTTTACGACACAAAAAACTTTTTCGAGTCTATCTTGAACAACTGCATTGGGATATTTTCGTGAATGCTTGCCCTGCCACCGATCATCAATGCAGCGAGCTGTCCGCTTAACTGATCCTGGGACCGCAATAAGGGTGCCTTCATACCGCGCCGGCAGCCGCCGCTAGCAGCCCGTAGCAGCCGCCAGCAGCCCGTAGCAGCCGCCAGCAGCCGTCAGCAGCCCGCAGCAGCCGCCAGCAGCCCGCAGCAGCCGCCAGCAGCCTGTAGCCGCCGCTGGCCGCTTTTGTTAAAGGAACGCGAAATTATCAGTACTTGAAAATCTTAGTGCTCCTGCCTACTCTTTTCGTTTTCCACGTTTTTCCTTCTGTTGCCACCAGTGTGTAGTTCGATCCACATATCATATTTGTGTCATTATGTGTCATTATTTGTATCATTTATTACCTTGACGCCGTATGCTCATCCTTTGAATCATAGTATGCAGAAGCTTCTTTCCTTTGTGATTCCCTCTAACGTTGGATGCGTCCATTTTCTGCAGGTGTGCAATTCGTTTACTTTATGAGTATGCTATTGCTTCAATCTTCTTGTTAGATATCGATGCATATCTAAGCATTCTACTATTTCGCAAGTTTGCCGAATTGATTCGCGGGGTGGGTTCTTCTGACTTTGACAATCACTCACGATCGTTATAGACAAGACAGATTGCAAAAGTGAAATTTAGGGACCAAGGAGGATGCAAAGTGCGGCAACAGAACAGTGGATCACATGTAATGTGTGAAATCAAGCTCGCATTCGCGGCAACAGAAGAAAAAGCATAGAAGATGAAAGGCGTAGGTGACAGCACTCAAAGTAGTAAGATCCTGGTGCTTTTTCGCTCCGGATCGAAAGCGGCCAGCGGCGGCTACGGGCTGCTACGTGCTGCTGGCGGCTGCTGCGGGCTGCTGGCGGCTGCTGCGGGCTGCTGGAGGCTGCTGCGGGCTGCTGCGGGCTGCCAGCGGCGGCTGCCGGCGCAGTATGAAGGCACCCTAACCCCCGACCCGTCCTGTAAGTACCATACACCAGTGAAGCCGTTGTACAACGCCTTTCTAAAAGCACTTATGTACTTCTGTCATCTCTTCGTCATTCATGATTTTTTGATCGCTTATTATTAGGATGCTGTATGATTTTTCGGTTCGTTTGCATTTACTGTATATATCTTATTAGTCATGTTATGCATGAAGTTTTCCACACACTTTAGAATGATAATGATGAAACTCCCACTCCTGTTTCTTGCAACACTGCTATGGGCGACGATTAATTATGGAATACAAAGCCTTGTGCATATATATTCGGCTTTTGCTTTTGGTTTCAATTTGGCTAAAAGACCATCGTCGTCGTATGTTGCGACCTAATGGAATACTTAAGAATCTACCGATCGAGACAAAGGGAATTTGTTAGCTTGCCATGCATATTTTGTTGGTGGCTTCCCGGCCACTTGCTGCTTGAAGCGAGCAGTTTGGTCTTGTTTGCGGAGTTTTGTCCGTAAATCAAAGATTGTTTTACCTCACTAAAATCAATGAACGTCAGCCGTTTCCGACCGCAAAAACACAAACATGCTAAATTAACCTGCTACATATATGTGGCTAAAAACGCTAAGACAAACTCTAGACTGCGGAAAAGGTAGAATGAAAGAATGAGAACGTGAGAGCATATCAAGTCCTTTTAAGCATCTTTCCAGTTCATCATTTGGGTGCAAATGATTATGTAAAATCTATCTATTGATTTAGGGTTCAAGACCAAAAACAGATGTGGCTTTTGTTGCTTCTTACCTTTATTTCACCGTTGTACGGTATGTGCATAAATTCGCAGCTTTGTCTATTTAATGGTGGTTAATATTTACTCAAATCGTTATGATTTTCTCTTAATTTAGCTCTTCCTGCGAATTGTAAACTGCCAGTCGATCTGGGGAAGAAATGCAAAGGACCTCCTCAAACCAGAGTAAGGATGTCACTTTGAACCTTTGTATAATTGCTTGTGAGATTTTAGTATCATTTCGACCCAGAAACTCGTAATTGTCTTCCCTTTGGTTACACTGGCTGTGGAGGAAACGGCAACAACTTTCAGGATGCACAAAAATGCTACACTACTTGCATGACAGGTAAGTTCCTTCCTCTCTGGTGTCTAACATACAGTAAGAGACAGCTGCAATAGCAATAATCCATTCTCACTTCTCGTTAGTTGTTTGAATGTAGTCCAAGATTGGTACATATCTTAATAGCACTGAATACAGAATAAGTGTCGGGCAAATTCGCCTTCTTCAGGTCTGAAAAATCGAAGACACATAAGTAAACTATCCGATCAGACACCTCGCCTATTACAGAAAAGAGCACAACCCTCTAGGAAAAACAACGCCTCAACCAAAAGCAAGATAAGCTACTGCTCACCTTAGCCGATGATAATTTTTTGGGTGCAGACCACTTATGTATGTCAAAAGCTGTACTGTCTTACTTTTATACTTAACTAGTGACCCCTGATTTGATCTCATTATTCGCGCTTCTCACGGCATAGGAGTGGAAACTTTTCACCCAAAAGTCTTCACCGGCGGTCTCCAGCCAATACATTAACATGGGCGAGGTGGAGACTTTGGGGTGAAAAGTCTGCACCCTGGGTTAGAGCCGCAAAAATCATTGACCCCCCCCCCCCCACATATTATACATCTTCTGAAAGCTGTTGAAGAGAAGAATCTAACCTATGAAGTCGCAACATGCTTATGCAATTCTGAAGAAGTTATGAGCTGTTGAATTCCAAAAAGCGGCTTTTTACCTGTTTTTTTAAGCCTGAATTTCGGCGGTATTTCAATGGATCGGTACGGCATAGTCCGATAAAGAAATTCCTATTCTACAAAACTTATGAAGTCGCAACATTGCACATCTTCACATTCCAGATTTATAGGAGTCTAAACATCAGCTGTCACTAAGTAACCTAAAATCGCTTAATTTTTTGAAATTCTCGCTCTCGGCAGCCACTGCTCAAATCGACCTAATTTTTTCATTATCTGGTAGAACAACACTACGCTCCAAAACCTACAAAGTCGCAATTGCTGACATCGCCATCTTTGTCGCTTACCGATATGCGTACTGCCTTTCGAAACTAGATCACGTACTTCCTTGAAACCAAGCCATTGTGTGCGAGTCAAGTTTGCATGAGGGCGTTTAGCTTTATTACTAATGCGTATTCCAGTACACGCGGTCTGCATGAGTAGGATTGAAGAACCAGTGTTGTCGCGTAGTCCTCTTATGTATTGTCGTTACATAGATGACTGTTGCGTCATAACATCAACACAATCCAAAATGGATGAGTGTTTTCGATTACTTAACCACCAGTCACAATACATAATCTGCACACAGCAACAACCAAAAGACGGCTGGCTTCCCTACTTGAATGTGGAATTCAAACTGTCCATCGGTTTGACAAGTGTAAAATGGTATCGTATGAAAAGCTCCAAGAACATCCTAGTCAATGCTCGTTCTGCGCATCCGATCTCTATCAAAAGAGCCGTTATTTATAACATGCTTAAGACAGCTACGAAAGTGTGCACAGGAGAAGAAGAGCGGAGGGAATCGCAAAGAAGGGCGCTGGACATTGCTCGAACGAATGGCTACACGTACCCAAAAGGGCGAGGTAGACCACAGCATCAAGAAGCGGCTACGTAACAGGCTTTACGACAACTACTGCATTGTTCTAAACCGCGTAGTTTGTCCGTTTGGTAAAGTTGGTGACTGCAATAAAATCGGCGTGATTTATAAACTGGAATATACAAACTGCAGTGCCACTTACATTGGTGAGATTGGTAGACCACTCGGAATAAGAATGAAAGAACACCTAGCCAGTATGAAGCGGGAAAGTCTTACTACTCCTCTCGGTAAACATAGATTTGAATGTCACGAGGGTGGAGATTTCAGAATCAGAGTTTGATACTGGCACGCGAAGGTGATATTTCTGCTAGAAAAGCCCTCGACGCACTCTGGATTTCTGCTAGAAACCCACTCATGAACAGCCGTGAATGCTTGTCAATCACAAATGACTTTATGCCTTTTCTACCGCTATGCGATTTGAAGAAGGCCACTACTCAGACAATCACAGGCTCTCAGCCGGCAGCCACAAAGCCACCGCGAAAACCCACCAAAAGCGCGGTGGTCTCATCGCCTCACTGTCGCTTCCCGCGTGTTATGATTACTCAGACAATCACAGGCTCTCAGCCGGCAGCCACAAAGCCACCGCGCTTTTAGTGGGTTTTCGCGGTGGCTTTGTGGCTTCCGGCTGAGAGCCTGTGATTGTTTGAGTAATCATAACACCCAATAATGGAATGCAAACATTCCTTATTAGTACTGAGTGGTATCGAAGGACGGCCGCACCAAGATCTGCGTGCGACGGTGGAAGAGGTGAGTTCATCCTTCACGCTATTCGATTTTTCTGGCGTCCTGGGGTGATATCGGGGCTAGCCGGTATGAGGGAGGTTTCTGGTGGAGTATAAATCTTCAATCTCTTACCACTTTAGGCCTCTGAAGAAGACGACAAAGTCGAAATGTCAGGCCGCCACTAATAAATCGTACTAACCTCGCAACGGCTTACTAACATACTAATCACATTACTAACTATGCCGAGGTTGAGGAAAGAGGAAACTTGGAAGCTTCGTTCAGCTTCTTTTACAACCTTGAGTAGGCGAAAATTTCAAGTGAGCAGCGCGTCCGCACCACTTCTGGCTCAACGAGATAGATTGGATGAAGAGACGCAGACTGCGAAACGGCGCGACTCTTGCGAAGCGGACTCCCGCCAGTCCAATTTTCACCTTACCTAAGTTGAAAGTTACAATACTTCTCTTGAATCCTGCGAAAAAGATTACAAACCTTACTGACAAACAGCATGTTTCAATTTTTCGAAGAGAAAATCATTATGACTCGAGTATAAACTTTCAAGTGAATCTCCCTGCCCAAGCAGATTTTACTTTTGTTCATTTTCAGCAGATCAGCTGAAAATTTCATGTGCAGCCAATGCGAAACCCAAGGGAACCTGCGATAAAAGAGGATTGTGTCCGAGTGGCACAGTCTGTTTGTTCGATGGGAAATCTGGAATATGCTGCGATCAGCAAAACGAGGGTAAGCGTATGAACAGATGTGCTCGTTAAATGAGAGTGACGCATTCTACTAAGAAGCAAAAACATTGATATATTTTCAATTCTTCACTAGACATCGTCTTCCACCGTAAAGCAGTCAATCCAAAGCTGATTGTTTATGAACAGCTTATTCAGAATTTACTTCAACCTTGCTTTTTCTATGAGTTTTGCATTTCTTATCTACCCATTGATTCTATATCTTCCAGAAAAGCTTCAAGCCGACTTAAATCCGAGCTGTGGGAATAAGAAGTTGTTACAACAAGTGATTAATGGACAAGTGAGTAGCTTGCCATATATGGCTTTTGCAAGGTTTTTTTTGACGAAGAAACACGTCTGAATCTTACCTCAAATTCCTTAAAACAATGTTTCAATCGCCGTCATTCAATTTTCCACTGCTAGGAAATTTTTTCATATATCATCAGCTTCAAAGTTTTGCAATCAGCATTCCGTATATACTTTAGGTGCTTCCAATATTTTTCATTCTAGCTCAGGTAATGTAGTGACCGATTATCTGTGCGCTGGATTTGGTTTCCTGGAAAGAAACAGAGACTCTCTGCTAATCTTTCCAACATTGTTTGAAAGCCTCTCAACAAATTTTTTGTAGGCATTTCCAGTGCTCGGCAAGAAGTGCAGCTATAACTTCTGTCCCAAGGGAAGCCGGTGCCGATATGGGAATTTCTTCTCTTATTGCTGCAAGTCATGAAAGCCATCAAGAATTCGATATCCAATTGCTACTTGCCAACTTTACTATTGAATGACAATCATTCTGATGAACATTGAGTCGTTGCACAAAATCACTTCGTGTTTTACATTTAGCAGCAAATCTGAATTTTGCAGCAGTAATGGCATGGAAATCAATGCACTACGCTTACTGCTATTCATAAGCTAGCATTCCAAAAATGTGTCATCTCTATTACTTTCTATTTTTCCTAGTTCTTAGAAATGTTTAGTTTGAACATGCGTGTAATTAGTCGTGCAAAAAGTACTTGACAGTAGCATGATGATCGTAAGGATGAGGATATCTGGGAGATCATTAACGGTATAAATCAATCTGCCTAATTGAGATCGTGCTATTCTTTACCGCTCAAACGAATTCTACCCGTGATGAATGAAAATCGGAAGCACCCAACGACGGGTGGGTAGATCTTCCAAGTTTGCCGAAAAAAATGATTGGTTACGTTTTTGAAACTGATAAAACTTTTCGATTACTGATGAGGAAATGGTCAGAACTTAACCCATCCATTCCCGACAAGGTGTAAATCATTAGACTCGTCTCAAAACGCTGATTCCAATTATATGTTTATTATCTGCCAAACGATTACCTAAAAGGAGTCAGGAGTTATGGGAGTTCAAATATTAGAACTTTTTCGGGTTTTGACAAATATAACTCATTTGAAAGCAGCTTGATGTCGCGGACTTACAGTGGCTACGGTTAATTCAACTACAAGGAACAACAAGCACTTCACCAAAACCTGAATCATGGAAACTTCTTCGCTTATTGTTGTCAAAACGCTTTTCACTCTGGCAACTGGGATTTCTGGAAACGAGAATAAATTTCTACAAAGTCCCTTACATGTGTGAAATGAAAGATGACTTCATTCATGTTTTGCATCAAGAGCTTGAAAATGGTAATGATTGAGCAGAATAAGTCACGATGAGTATAGCATAGCACCAGGGTCAGAACACGGCAAAGTGTGAACTAATCCGAAGAGAACGACAACGTAGTCTTCGAGCATTAAGCGAAATTCTGCAGATCTTATATTCCCCTATACGCTTACCTATGAGATGGGTCTACAAAACCGCTAGACTTTGCCGTCATTGATTAGAAAAATTTATTATCTTGCTCAATGTTACCTAGAAAAGAGTACAAAAGTTGCGCTGGAGCAAACATGCGTAAGTGCACTACACTGGAAACAAAAACCTTTGCAGCACAGTAGCACTGACGGTAGATTTTGATGCCAGATACGGAAATGGTAATGTGGGGCCAACTATTATAAATCCACAACAATGTGGAAGTGAGATTTTAGCAACACTCACTTTTCTTTGGTTATGGTTACAAAAATTATGCAATTTGTTGGTATAGAAAAGCTTAATCATTTTTTTCGACGACCGACGAAACAAACTGTGCAACTCTTACTCGCCTTAAAACGCAAATCTCATATAATGTTTAACATGTGCCATCTTCGTGCATACGCACATATGCAGATCAGTTTAAGTCAAAACGAAAAGCTAACAAGGCAATAGTCATAAGTGGCCAATCAGCAAGCTGCCTACCATTCGATGCAACATTCAGCGCTGAATTCGAACTGTAATCCATATCTGCTTAGCCCTTTGTGGATGAAGTTATGAGCAAATTTATTCAAAAAAATCGTACATAAAAATTGCGAAATTGAGCGCATTGTTGCGCTTTCAGCTCACCTTTAGGCTTCGGGAATATGGACCAACCCAGCTGCAGATTTTGATCCAGGGATATGAACATAGATCTGTACTGCCGAATTCACGCTTTGGTGCACGATTCCTTAGCAAAATGATATGGAATATAGGCTCGAACTCAGCGTTTTATGGCGCATCTGGATGCAGCTTGTTTGGATTGGCCACTTCGATTTCCGACCATTCCCTTGCAAGGTAACCTTCTATGATTAATAATACCGGTGGCGTGATTGCCATATAGAACACAGGGCATAACGGTAGTTGTTCAGGAGTTTAGAAGCAAACTTAGGTATTTTTTTAATTGTGAAACATGCAGATTATGTTTCTCTGAGAAGGCAAAAGTCACTGCATGATTTAGTAGAGGGGAGATTGATGCAAAAATGTTCATTGTATTTCCCGATAAGAACCTTGATATTAGGTCGGTGCAGAAGTCAATCCCGTTCTCTAGAAAAAACCCCATAACAAGTGTTTTGAGCAGTATTTAATGCAAAATTTCTTCTTCTTTCCACCAGACATGTTTTCTAACGACTCTTTCAACGGGCGATGAGATGGTCGCCGAATTTTACCACTTCATTTTTACCATAAACTTTGCTAATTTTCGGAATTTTTATTCAAAACTTTCACAGATGTTGTGCAGCCACCAGCTGGTGCAAACCTTTTGCAAACTGATGCATTCGTCGCATTAATCCAAGTTCCTTTTTAGAGTTTTGCTGAATGGATTTACAGGAGTCATAAGTTCTGAAAATCGTGTAACATATAAAACAACAAGCACTGCAGATTGTTTCAAATATCGCTGTTTGAAAACTCGATTATCACTATCACTAACTTTACAATGTAAATGAGCGAGCATCGCTCCAGCGGCGATTTTGTCTGCAAAAGTCGCAGGCTAAGAAAAGGCAGCTATTAAAAAAGGAAAAAATTTACATTAAATGATACCCAAACTTACATTTCAATCTTCACGAGGATGAAATGGGCCAAATACTACATTTGGACATTCAAATGTATTGCAGTAAGTCTAAAAACGCGGGAGAAATGCAAACAATTGCATTAGTTTGCAAAAGCTTCGCCTCATCAGAAAGGTACTGGAGCATTTGCGAAAATCTCGAACGAAAATCCTGAAAATTCATAGCAAAATGTCTGCTGTGATGAGGAATAAACTCTGCATTGAATACTGCTTGAATTACCTGTTAATCTTTGCTCTACAACTTGAGGGTTGGCTCAAAAGACGGGAAGAACTTTTTGCACCGACCTAATACATTTAATTCTGAAAACTTTGCACACTCCATGAATAAGCATATAAAAACTCCTACATAATTTTGATTTTGTGATTTGAATGTGATTTCGTGCATACGCACATATGGCGCCAAATACGGGAGAAATGCTAGTGGAAATTTTGTCAAATTGTTCACTCAATGTGTTAAGGCAGCCTGAGCGCAATTTCAGTATCTATGGTATTATGTAAAGGGAGGAAGCACATTTACTAGAAACCTAAGTGAGTGTTTTTTAAACGTCTTTCGTGAGGCACATGTCACAGAACACTTGGCAGATACGAACACTCATAACTGCTTTCAGATGGTCGCCTAACAATAATAATCAAAACTTAATAAAAAAATTAAAATTAATACTCAAAAACAGCGCTTGAAAGTGCGATGATGTACAGCTTGTTTGGATTAAGCGCAGTCAAAAGCGTGGCTTCGCGAACATTAAATGATGTAGCAAAACTTTTATCCTTTTATCCACCTTGAAGCATTGCTAAGTCTCTCTAACCAGAAAAGCCCTCATATGAAAATCCACATCTTTTCTCGCACGGGATCTAACAAGGAGAGGATACTTAGTCGAAAGCACCAATTCAGATGAGACATATATCATCTTAAAGCGCTTGAAACGCTGATTCCAAATCTGCAGTTTCTAGCTGCGGAGCGGTTTTGCAGAGGTAGTTATGAGGGGTTTTCCTCTGGGGTTGAAGCGCCCTCCACCTGGTCTCCCCCGCCTATGAACACTGTAGAGGAGCACTAACTGGTGGCAACTGACCTAGTGGTAAGTGACTTGCTAGATAAGAAGAGTGTTAAGGTTTTAATCCACTTTTGTAAATTTGAGCTTCTAAATGGCTTCAGAGCCCTAAAGCATGAAACTTCTGATGATATTGATACTAATCGAAGTTAGAAGTGTCAAAAAAATCAAAGTAATATGAGTATTACAATCTTTACTGTAATGTTCATTCAAGCTACTTACCATTATGTCGGTTGCCATCAGCTGATACTCCTCTACAGTGCTTACAGATAAGGAGAGACCGCTGGAGGGCGCCTAAACCCCAGGGGAGAACGCCCTTCATAACTCCTTCTTCAAAACCGCTCCGCAGCTAGAAACTGCAAATTTGGAATCCGCGTTTCAAGCGCTTTAAGATGATATATGTCTCATCTGGATTGGTGCTTTCGACTAAGTATCCTTTCCTTGTAAGAGTCAGGTAATTCTCTTGACCTACTCTACCTGCTTGAAAAAAGACACATGTTTTTCGCAAACTCAAAAGGAGTTTTCTTTGTAAACTATTAGGTGTCAGCCTCGTGCAGAGTTCTGATTGCTGCCAAGCTTGGCGGTTTTTGATAGCAGGGTTTGTAAAGAAATAGTAAAAGATAATAATGTTTATAATTGTAATATTATGACTTGAGACCTCCGTTTGATTTCCTATCCTTAGACGGAATATTGTTTTCTATGCCATCCCAATAAGGAAGGATGGCGATAGTTAAAATGACTCATATATGTAAAATTGATATTAGGATTTATGTTCCAAACAATTAGTTTCAAGCATTTGATTTATGTCTTATCGGTGGAGGGTTGATAAGTTTACCAGCAATTGAATGTCTACAATGCTTCTACTATATCTAAATTTGAGATGGTACATCTGCATTGAAATCAAAATGGCTGGGAACAGATGATGAAATGATAATATAATCCCAAAAGGCATTATACTTAGATGTTGGCGTCTGAGAGAACGTTTCATAAATAAATTCGATATTCAGCTGTGAAGAAATCGATGAAGGCGAAAGCCGACGTTGGGTCCATTTATGAAAGTTGATTACATCCTGCTTGCTAACTGAGATGCTAATATGGAGAAAAATGCTTGTGGTTTTGAGAAGAGAATCTCTTATGCATTTTTCCCCTTTTCAGCATCGGGCCCTCTCTTTTGCTTGATGTGTTAAATGGATTCAACGCCGTATAGCCATCAACTACAATCTTATAAAACCCACTCGATTGATAACAAGTCCGGCCACTCAAAAGCTTTTTTTAGCCCCTTACTTACTGAAATATAACAAAGTCCCGAGATGATCCCGTAAAAATCTATCTGCGCGTGCCGCAAACTCAGCGAGCTACATTTTTTGTTTTTTCGCATGGAGCGATACAGACGATGTTGCAGAACGTTACCATATCACTAAGATTTTCTTAAGACGTATTTAGTTAGAGAATTAGGCTCCGCTTCTTGGAGGTTGCCAAGATACTCATATCGTGCGTTCCATAATAAAGCCAGAACTCAAAACCTTAGGTGAGCCAGCAAAACAACCAAAATGGGAAGAATCGTTGTTCTGTCAGAAATCAGCTTTTTCTTCGCACTTTTCCAGCATTCCAATATTTCAGAACGTTTTTTTAGGAAGACTAAGATAATGTGGCACCTGCTGGTCCTAGCAATGTTATTCCCATTACATGGTATGTTGATTATAGATTACCTTCTTAATCTTAACGTCACTTTAGTGGAATCGGAAAATTCCATGATCGATTGCATAAAATCGCTCAGAATGGGGAAGCAGAACTGCAAGACAACTCCGAAAATTAGAGTACGTACGTTACTCAGTGACAATAATTAGTCGGAAATGAGAATTCCAGTACTATTTCGATGCAAACCATTACAAGTGCTTTCCGTTCAAATACACTGGATGTGGTGGAAATGACAATAATTTTATAGATTGGAAAGAATGCTCCGACTTATGTCTTCCACGTGAGTAGCTTTTTACTATATAAACAAAACACTAGTGAGATTGAGGCTTCGCCGAGAACAAATGGAGCCAAAAGTTATATTACACAGACTATTGGAGTTCCACTTGTTGCACATTCTTACCGCATCTTGATCGTTGGGGCTAGGTTCAAGGTTGAACCATCGGATTGTATTTCAGTGAAGATTTCAATCATGAAATGAATCAGCACCATTAGGTGTTTTCAAAGATTGCGATTCAAGCAAAGTTGGAAGAAATTCAAAAGCTTTGTCTTTATCTCAGGAATTGGATCTCGGCTCGAAAGATGAAAACTCGTGCTTGCAAGGAAAGTTGTTTAGTCGAAGTAGTCGAAGTGGCCTTTTTAAATAGAATGTATTAGGTTGAACCGAAAGTTCGTTCGCACCATCTTCAAGAAATCATAACCTCTTTCTGTCATAACAATTTTGCGCATTTCAAATTTTATTACAAAGCGTAAAGCATGTAGTTTCCAAAAGTCTTCCGTCGAGTTTTCAACATGCTCAGTTTACAGAGATAAAAATGAAAGAACGAGATCATCGAAAATTCGGAATTTTTAAGCAAAAATTTTTAAAAATCTAGAAACTGTGCGACAAAATCCAGAACAACCATCGTCTTAGGTTTTCTTATATTTTATCACTAAATGAGTCACGTTTGTGCTGATCGAGCTCTTCTTTCAAAATTTATGATCTTTTGAATAAAAAAAGCCAAAAAATCAATTCCCTAAGAATTCTTAAGAAATTAATTTTTCGGCACTTTATTCCAAAAAATCATAACTTTTGAAAGAAGAGCTCGATCAGCACAAACTTGACTCACTTAGTAATAAAATATAAGAAAACTTAAGATGATGGCTGTTCTGGATTTTATCACACACTTTCTAGATTTTTTGAATTTTTGCTCAAAAATTCCGATTTTGGATGATCTCGTTCTTTTATTTTTATCTCTACAACCTGAGCATATTGGGCTCCTCAGGGGGCTTTTGTAAACTGCATGCCTTACGCTTTCTGATAAAATTTGTTATGCGCAAAATCGTTGTGATTGAAAGAAGTTATGATTTTTTGAAAATGGTGCGAACGAACTTTCGGTTCAACCTAATATAACGGTTAAGTGAGAGGCAAATCTGTCTTGCACATACATTTGTGTATCGCAAAATCTCAGAAGTACAACCATTATCACTGCTCCATGTGCCCTAGGTGATCGAAATGGCACATTCCGCATGTATAATTTCATTGATTGATTAGATTGGACAGATTTCAGCAGGCGTAATTACGTATACTGCTATATGTCCACATTGTGACTAACTTAGTGGGAGCTCTGTAGGATCTGGAGAGAGATCCTATCTCTAGGATAATAAAAATACCAAATCTTGGTTTTAACCTTTGCGTGGGTCTCTATCAATGAGTCTCTGAGTCCTTTAAAGCTTGAGTAATTCAATCGAAAGCTCTTCTTGCATTTTTCTTCTACCTTGCCTCGGATGGCATAGCGGAGACATTTCCTGTTTACAGTTAAATTTGGTGTTTGATAACAAAGAATTGAATCTTTAATAATCGGAAATGAAGCTATTCATATCCGATTATCAAAGATTCACTTCACCAGTTCAAAGGGTTGGTAAGGAATTTGTTTCTACCCCTCGCAAAAGCTTCGATCACCTACTCTTAGGTTATTAAGAAAAGCTCCCGGCAGTTTTGGAAGTTTCAATTTCAGACTCATTGGTTGAATCTTAACGACAAATATATTGTACGCTTCTGTAGAAGAAAGCCTAAGCTTCTCAAGATCGCATTCAGTTTTATCCATTATAAGGCATATTGATCTACACATTAAAAAAGGAAGTTCGTGCAACGATGAAAATCAGGATTCTTCCTGCTGCAATTATTTGGCAATGAACATACCGCGCATAAGGAAAGACTTCGAATTCATTTACTCGAAAGATGCATTTTAGGACGCATCAAGGCCCATTTTCCAAATTTCTGAAAAAAAATGTTGCGTGCGGTGATCAAAGATGTGACATAAACCAACAGCCCTCACAGACTTGTACATAACTATCGAATTAGCTCTCTTCATGCTTGAAAAACTTCTGCACTAACAGGCTGGTTTTTAAGTCGACCTTTTTTCCTGACTGCGCATTCTAATGGCCCGAATTGAAGTGCTGAGGTCCCATAAAATAAATGCCCTGTAGACAATAATGTCTTTGCAGCAAAGTTTGCGGCCTTCAAAAGGATCAACTTGCTTGATGTAGCAGTTTTGAAGAAGTTTGCGCAAATACCCAGAAACTCCCTTAATAACCGCATATTTAATTAGCCAATTGCAGCTGCATATTTTCGCTGTCCCGGCAATGGAACAAAAACGGGTATGTGCAACGAGCAGTACAAATGGAGCAAATGTCCAAAAGGATCCACCTGCGTAATGGCAAATGAGTACGGATTCTGCTGTGAAGACAAAGACAGGAGTAAGTGTTCTTTGACCGTCCACTGGCAAACTTAAGGAAAGTTGAATTGCCAGAAGCCGTTGCATAGTGTGGTATTCGTCGTATATTATATTTGCGTAGTTATGGATATCACTAATGCTGTTTCGCAATTTCGCCGTTATCTAACGAGACAAAAGAAACGTGCTCATTTTAAAAACTACAGGATTGGGGGAACGTCTTTGAACACGATATTTTTAACGCAATGATGAAGATGGGCAAGATGATTATATGAAATCAATAAATAGTGATTATCAACTGTCTGCTATATCAGAGACTTCACAATTCGAATATTCTTCCTTGGACGCGAACGCAAGCTCGGAAACGCCTGGGAACGCTGTCCATGGTGTTACGGTGGTGCTCCACTCGACTCTTTCCCACGCATTCTATAGAGCACATCGCAGAGACTCCATAATCTCGAGTGAGTGAGCTCAGGCTTTGGCCTAAAAACAGCCACACGCTGTAGTCGAGCATTCAGATCCGGCAAATACGGAGGTTATTCCTTAAGAGCCAGCCCTTAACGTTGCTTTGGGGCCATGCTTGAACAACCTTCGCTTTGTGCGCAAATGCGCTAGCGCGCTGTGTACAATCGCTTCCGGCAAAATGTTTTATTGGTCCAGGCCAACAATTCCTTCTTCAAGATGCCACCCGCACGCGTAGCAGTGTTCACCTTGATGCCCTGAGACACAAAAATCGGCAGCATCTTGCTGTCGGAAGCGATCGCCGCAAAAATCGTCGCAGAAGCCGAATGAAGATTTCCTTCTGCGAGTCAATTTTCCTATTGGCTTCTTAGTGCGATTAGGTGATGATTCCGTTGTTTTGGCATCAAAAACCTGCTTCATGGTGAAAATTCTGACGTAAAAAAGAGTATCGTTCGGTTACGTCTTGTCGAGGCGTGCAAGCAGTCGACGGCATCTCTGCGCGGCACGGCATCTGCATCTTTTCATGTTTTTCCAAGAAGCATGAATTTTTGGCTTCCTGAAGCTTCATCACAACGTCCTGTTCCACGGTGTTGGAGCCTGTCCTGCTAGACATGGACAGCTCTGAAGCCAGCTCAATCAAGCTCTACCGAGGATTGCGATAAAGGAGCTAGCGAACGATTTTTAGATTTTTGTAAGTGTCCGCAGTAGCCATTCTATCACTTCTACAACAGTCCTGGGTGCTGTTCATATCCTGGAAACGAAGCAAAGCGGAAATCCGCTGATCCGTGAAGTTTGGGGAACCCGCGCAATCTGCTGGTAAACCATTCTGTTCTCGTGCATCTTCGCAAACAACGCTCGCTTCGTTCCAGAAGGCATATCTCCGATAGGAATAAAGCTAATAGTCCAGTTTTTGGAAAGCTTGTACTTGAGAGTATAAGAAGCAAGTACATATAATTAGCATACAAGAATAGTGGAAAATCCGAACATACAATGACATCAAAATTTCAAAGACTTCCTCAACCCTGTATTAAATGAAGCTCAAAGTTGGCAAGGAAAAACTTCCTAAGATTTCCAATTTGCATACAATGTCTCATGGCGTTATGCTTGCTTTCAGCCCCTTATTCCGTTGGAGGCCATCACATTTCTCAAATTTCGATAGTAGCTCCTCCAGATACACAGAAGATATACATCTATGATTTTGGAATTAAATCGGTGGAGAATTAAATCGACTGGAAAGTTTTATTGGGAAATCATTTTCATGTCGGCTGTTAGGAGCCTATCATTCATTCTCTCTATAAGAGACACGAACACGCTTTGCGCGGTCTGATCAAAAAGTTTATGATTGTGTTTAACGCAGTTCGGTGAATCACTACCTGGAATTTGTGAAAGAACATGTTCGAGCTCGCGTTGTTTAACAAGCTCGAACATGTTCTTTAAAGGTTTTTAACAGTAAATGAACCAAAACGCTTTGGAGCTCTCTAACGGACTTGTTAATCAGACCTATGCAAGGCTATTTAATCAACTAGTTTATTTCTCTTAGTCAATGAACGATATGCGGATTTGCGAGAGAATACGTTGAGTTCAAAATAGCATTTTTTAAGCGAACTCTGGAGATTTTCTGATCTGGTGGGAAGAGATTTTTAAACCTCGTAAAATTGATATTTGTACGTTATATGTCGCTTTTTATTTCTCTTCGATAACACGACTGCGAGCTTTCTTTATGTGACTAAATTTCAGAAATAGCAGCTGACGAGAACCCTGACTGCGGAAAAAAGAAGGTGGTCAAGAGCAACTATAGGGGATATGTAAGTGCCACACCGAGCTAACTTTCCCAACAAAATTCCATAACTGACTCTTCCAATGTGATCCTGTTCGTCATAATTTTGCACCATGTTTGCAAGCCATGAGACTTGAACTCAATGATTCCTTGGCGAAAACACCTTCGCAGTCTCACGGCACAGTCACGAAAATAATCATGTCATTGATGCAAGCGAAAGCAGTGAAGATCATGATCGTCAGCATCAAATTCCTGAATTTTCTGTCTCTTGCGTCATTCCATTACAAGAAATGATCTGTTATACTCCCTAAGCGATGATGAGCTGTAATGTGTTATATTACAGATGGGCACACTGCAGGGCTTGAGTTGCAGTCACAACTTCTGCCCCAAGGGTAGCGAATGCCGGAAAGGAAATTATTTCTCTTACTGTTGCCAGTAATTATGCTGTCGGCTATGAAGGTTTTGCATCTGTAAAAATGGTTGGATAAGCTTAGTAAACGTTTTGCATCATGTACAGAATCGTTTAAATTCGAGATGCACGTGATCAGAACTTTGGTCGGCTTACTAACTTACTAACACTTACACTAATAGTTATTCGGTTTTATACAGTACTAATTGGCTTCCCCGGTTTCACTCTTGGCGTAACCTCAACTGGTTGGCAGATCGTAAAGTGAAGCATATAGAATTTATTTTCATTGCAAAGGCCCAAAAATCAATAAAATCGATGGAAGGGCACAGAAATTGGCTCAAGTTTTGGACTCTAGATTCAAGAGTAAGCTGCGTCTTCTTAAGGGTTAAGAACATACGTGTGCAAAGTTTTAGATTAATCGAATCATGCAGGAAGAAGTCTATAGAAACTTACACTACCTTTAACACGCAGACTATCTACTTTCCACTAGCCGACGTTCCAGGTACAGCTCGGAAAGCGGTAAGCCGGCCTAGCATGGTTGTTAAACTTTAACTCACAATTTGCCCCTTTCTCTCAGTTCTTAATTCTCGTAGCCTCTTTCCTTCTTCCTTCCTGCTTCTGCTCCTGGTTTGCACCGCAACGGTCTTGGTAACAGTGATTTGTCTTCCTTCTTGGTCGCCTCTTTCGTGAAACCGCATCGCCTTTGCCGCGAAACGTAAATAATTTTCATCGCCCTTCTACTTCACATGGGAAGTGATTCAAATCGATAAGTCATTTTCTTCAACTAAGTAAACAAATCAATAAATCGATTGAAGGGCCCAGCGAATCGTTAAAAAAGTAGTCTATCTTTTGCGCCGTGCCTCATTTATAGGGGAGCGAATTTCGGCTCATCGGTCCACGCGCAAAGGAGTTTATAAGCCACTTACATGCTGACTATACAGAGTTCGAATTTTGTTTATATATATAGAGAGATGCTATATGTGGAGATAAAATCACGTTTATAAAACGTACTCAAGAAATACTCAAAAGGTTGGTGACATTGCAAAATTGAAAACTACGTCTCAAGTGCACAGCAAATTTTGATCTTTCCCGTTTTAGGTCGATGGCAAATCTCGCCGTTGTTACAACCATCTTTATCGCATGTTTCTCCCGTTTCGACATAGTCCTTCGGACATTCTGAAAATCGTAGCCATACTAGAGTTGAGAAAATATGTAGCAACATATTTTATTATTGCTCTGCACTCACTTGCACTCCCTCCTTCCAAAGTCGTTGCAAATATTCAAAGAAACAAGCTCAGCATGCTTTTAGAACTTACTATTCACTCCCTTGCAGCATACTCGAGTATTCGGATCACACATCTGCCCCTGTGAGCAGTCGGAAGATCGATCGCATCTGATCAGCTGATTATTTCTATCCACTGATGGCTCGCCCCGGAGCCCAACTGTGCACATCACTCCTATAACACGAGAGAACATATTTGACGGTCAAATTTTGATAAGTCACTTATTTTTTGTCATCTCCAACAATATTTTTTTACGAAATCTGCCAGTGACAGTTCTTGATCTATCATCAAAAACTGTGTTTTGCAGCATTAGGTCGTTACATAAGTTTGTCATCACCCTCTCTTCGTTATGCCCTGGAAAATTCTAGAGAATTTGGCAAAATCTCTTAAATAATAAAGGGCTATCCATTAGCACACTTTCGCCTTAACATACACTTTTTTATCCTCGTATGTGTCCCGCTTATGCAGGGTCTGCTTTCCTTGTCAGATGTCTCCATTTGTCCTATCTGAGGTAAGGTCTTCGTCTATACCAAGTTCTCGCAGGGGTCTTGATTCTGTCCATACATCTTATTGGGTCTACCTCTGGGTTTGCCTGGTGCCTCCACAGCCAGGGCAACACACGTTATGCACACATTCGCTTGGCAAGCAGTTACTTATAACAGCTCTTTAGCAGCGGTTGGATGTTCTACAGCTCCACCACTTTGAGCTTCTGCGAGATTTGTTCGAAACGTTGCGTCACTACTAATAAAAATCTAATAAAAACATCAAACAAATCTCCACATACCCTAATTTTACGAGTATAAGACGCGCCCGTTTTCTTCTAAACTCGACCAGCCTGAACACTCCAAGAATTTTCGCGACCAAAGGACCCTATACTGCATACTGCCTGAGGGTATCGTGCGGCATAAGTTCTGTCTTACGAAATGAAAGGACTCGGCTCAGCGGCTCGCTTGAGAAATCGAAACGCGTCTTGTACTCGTAACATTAGGATAATTTAAAAACGAGAAAAAATCTTTCGATGTGTGAAAATAACTTATGCAGCGACCTCAGCTAGACCATGAACATATACGACAAGAGTAAACTTCTCTCTTTCGGGCAGTTCCCTTGCACTGGCCTATTTCCTAATTTCTTGTCCTGCATTATGACTTTGTCATTGGAACACTTTGGAAACAAACAGAGAACCCACTTTTGCACTCGCCATTGATATGGCTAAAGCCAGTTCTGCATTTACAGACTCCATCAACGCATTCCAGTGGTGCATTCTCACTATAGATGTCCGTTGAATTACGGGACGGTGAGCACTGGGCAGAGATCTGAAACTTCTTCTAGCTTCTGTCATGAAATCACCAAAAACCTTCCAAGAGGTTTCCCAGGATTTTAGTCGAATAGGGGACCAATTTTTGCTGCCATGCAGTAGGATTTGAATGTTAGAGGCAAAAGCAAAACCTACATGACAGCTGTCACCATAAAAAGCTGTAGGATAGCATTGTCCGTCATGATAGATATCCTCCAATGAAATGCATGGCTTAGGACAGCAGATCTAAACAAAAATGACGGGAATTTCCTTCTAATTCGAATTATGTGCTCTTCCTCACCGATAGTTCGGGATAAAAAAGGTCTCTATGACAATAATACTCTATTGGGCAATCATTGCAACCGTAGTCAGGCGGAAAACTCGTCTCGTGTGGCTCCCCCACAGGGCAAACTGGACGGATTCGACCCGGTGATGGACAGCAGAACCCCTTGAAAATACAAATTGCTCAATTTAATCGAATATAAGGCTTTGTCACTGCCTACTTGGTAATATCCGGGTTTCAATGCATCATCAAATAACGGCACACAATAATAATCTTCTGGACAGTCGTCGCCAGTTTCATCTGAGTTGGCTGGAAAGAATCGCAATGGGATGCGGCGATGATAATATGCACATTTCATAATGTTAAAAGCAACGCGTTGAGCACACCAATTACCTAAATAAGTTCACTTTACGGCAAAGATTAGTCAACATACCAGTTCCGTTGATAATCGAGAGTTCAGGCCTCTTTGATCTGCTTTCCAAACTACCAAATAGCAGTTTAGCTAAGACTGTTTGCATCGAGCATGTCACGATCTCATTTGAAATCTTCAGTGGATTACCATTATTGAGACAATTGTAGGCTGAAATATAGTATTTCTAACAAAATTTTATTACTAGAAACGAACTTCAAAGCAAAATAACAGAAAAATTGTATTTGATCAAAGGTACAAGCAAAAGCGGTTGGCAGTGGATTTATAATTTTCCTAATTTGCTCATCGCCTGCTCTAAATATAAATCACCTATTGGCTTACAGCCTCCTTTTCCATCTCTCTGAAATCCCCTTTTACATCGACATCCTCCAGTCGTACATTCAGAAAAGGCGGCCGAACATTCCATGTCTGTTTTGCATTTTTCCTCAAAAATAGAGTTCTACTTGGAGTTATTTTTAGATGTTTAGAGATAAAGCAGACCTTCAACCTCCTTCTAACTCTGCTACAAGTCTTTCCGTCCGAACTCAAGGCATATCCGAGTTCTGATGGACATTCACAAGTACATCTGTTTGGTCTGTCACACATACATGCAGCACCTCCTTCACACCCTTCTCGCACGTTGCACGTCTGTCCAAGCCACGGACGAGATCGAACTAAGTTGGACGAGTTAAGTCACCCAACGATTGTGCTGAAATGTTCACCTGAAGGTGTGGTCGCCACGGTCACACTATCTAGACAGCAGAATCCGGTTTTTGTTTCGCAGTAGCCACCCTTGGGGCATATCATAACTCGTCCGAATTTAATCTGTAACGAGCTTTGACAGCTTTTAAGACTGAGTTTTTCAAATTTTACCAATTTTACCTGACATAGAATCGGCTTGTTTGTAATTGCATTCAGCATGACCTTAGTCGGACGCGGGCACGTTCGGATTTCTAAAATAATCGAATTTTGCTAATTTCTCCGGACAAAATTCTTCTTCAGACTGACTTGTGCAACAGATACCGAATTGTGGGTTGCAAATATGAGATCCGGAACATTGCCTAAGAAGATCACAACTGGAAAACTTTCCACCATCAGTGATTACCACTGCACCACCTCCAGGACAATAGTGTTCGTTAGCATCTGAAAAGTCTAAAATCATCTTAGATTAGTGTTTTTGTTTTCAAGTAAGCGCTCTAATTTCTTCACTTCTGTTGGGTTCCCTGGAACAGCTTTTCATGACTAACGTAATCTGATAGTTTTTCTAAGGAAAAATTCATGCTTTTGATTGTAATATATCATCACACTTCATTTCCATCCCTTGGACAATGTAGAATTTCGACTTTGTTCTATTTCCTTATAAAACAACATGTGCTAGACTAGCACACACACTAGATTATTGAAAATGCAAAATCTAGCTTGGACGAGTTTTGTTGATCTGAAATGCAAAGGAATTTGATAGAAGGGACCAGGGAGGAAGATTATCGACGAGTTCAAACGCTTCCACTTGATTGAGCGCTTCTATATTGCAGTCTCTGACAATGAAAATTCTGTCCCTCACAAAAGTTCGACTGTATAAATGTCTACAAAAATTGCCTAATAAGGCCTCGGGCATAGTTCACGCGATTTCATCGCCTTACGATTCTCCCAAACAAAAAACTCGTTACCGTCCACCGCATGCTGATCACCTTGCACTTTGATTGTGACAGCTAGTCAAGTGTCGAGAACTATCACAACCAAAATGTAGGGAGATCAGCAAGCAGTGGACTCGTAACAGTTGGGTAGGGGAACGAACTCCGCCAATTTGGGCTGCCTCCGCGGACTACTGGTCCTGCAACTACATGCAACAACGTTGCAAAAGGATCAGTTGTCTGCGGAGGCAGCTCAAAACTGGCGCAGTTCGTTCCCGTACCCGTAACGGATGAAATCGTTGGAATATGCCCGGGCCTAGAAGGTAGAATTACGATCCTTTTGGCTTTCAAAAATTATTTCAAGCAAATTAAACGATTTTAGCAAGAATGTGGTTACCGTTCAAGCTCACCAAATACTAATCCTTTTACTGGTCGCCTTGCTGGCCGATACAGCATGCACAATTTTTGTAAGCGCCCATTTACAAAATGAAAACGACAATGTTGTCCATGAAGGTTAGGAGAGAGGTTGGCAGTTCTCTTCTGTAATTATTTCTTACTTTGCCTGCCCGATGATATAACTGAAGTTACCGTTGCAGACGAGCGACAACCTGCAGACCTGATACTCGACTTTTGATAATAAGGACAGGAATGTGCGGTTTCTTCTGTAAATGTTACATGTTGAAGCCTAGAACTTACTCTTTACATAAGATAAGAGTATTTGTACACTTTGCAGCCCTGCAGCTTACCCCTCTTTGACACCTCCCAGAAATCTTTTGAAATGTTCTTTGTTGATATCGATACTTACACACGTATTTGCATGCACTGATATTAAGAGCATCATAAATGTCAGGCGATTTGGAATTTTTTTCTTGCTTTTTTCTGAGCTATTATAAAGCACCGTATAAAAACGACCGAAAACATCTAAAATGAGTTTCAGGTACACTTTCCTTGCTTCTAACAGTTGCATTCCATAAGCTCAATTTTTCCCATGCATTTAGACAATCAAAAACTTTGCCCTGCGTTTCACTTACTTGAGGTCTTGTTAATTTTCAAAATGTTATCCCGTTCTCGAAGAGCAAATGGATAAACTTTTGGGCCGCTATTGAATCCACACACAACTGTTTAGGATTCAACAATAGTCTTTTACTAAAAAATGTCGTTTTTGCCGGTATTATGGAGCACAAAATTGCAGCAATAAATAAAAGCTTCGAGGGTTTGAAAGTTGAAGCTCGGTTGCACTTAAAGATACGAGATACTTGTCAAGTTTCTTTTCAAATCAAGTTTATGGAATTTTCGACATGTTTTTTCATAGCATATATTCGAGAGTTGGGGTAATTTTCGAACAAGTATGTAATAATTAGAACCTCCAAGAGAAATTGACTTAGAGAGAGATAAGTGAAGTGCGTAAACTGTAAAACTTTCTTCGATTTCCCACCGCTTTTCTAGGATGCAATACTTCTAAAAATTATGAAGAAAACAGCATTTTGTTCAATTGTTCATGTTCAAGAAATCATGAAGGGTAGCGAAGACTGTCTGAAAATGTAGCCTTTGAAGAAAAGGGTAGGAGGGAGAGCTGGATTTTATGATTTTTAGCTCGCTTGTTAGTCGGCGTTGTAAGAGTTTTGGTCAACTATCAAAACAAAACAAAAAAGAACTCTTAGGGCGATCTAATTTGGGAAGAATGGTGACACATGCCATGTATAGGAGAGAAGGAGGGGATAGGGGGGGGGATGGGGGAAGGGTGAGAAAGAGAGTCACTTGAATGGAGGTCTCTTGTGACTGTTCCTCACTGCTGCCTTCGTCGAAAAAAGGTTGGAGCAGACCTAAGCATCGTCATAGGTCTATTTAAAAGTCGAGATCCATTTGGTACGCAACTTCCCCCCCCCCCCCCTCCCTCCTCCCCCACGATGAATGTTGATTTTATAAGCATCCCATGACGGCAATGTAAATTTTCTATTTTCTTACCATTAGTACCAAAATCCCGGAAAAGGCAACGCCGTTTGCTATTATTTGCGTATTTTCATGAAATAACGCAGAAAGATGCATGAGATAAAAAATTAAACGGAATACAAAAACGGAGTGTTGAAAAAATTGCAAAAAATACTTCTTTGAGCTTACCTGCAACAGTAAAAAATAATAAAATAGCCACTAGCATTAGGTGAAAAAAAGTACAGCTATGAATTTGGCAACACTCCAATGGTCCGAAGTGACCAGCACTGCAGGCGCAGGTGTGCTTGCACAGGCGCAGCTCGTTGCTTCGTCACGCTGCTTATGTGCTTATTATATCTATCGTTGGATAAAAATAGAAATAAAAAATATGGACGTTCAGAAAGTTTTTGTGGCTTTATCTTGGCCACAGGAAGTAATTTTCGAGAGGAAAAAATGAAATTTCCCTGCGGAGGCCGAGTTCTGGTTCATGGCCAATATAACCAGAATTAAATTGCATTTTCTTAGGTTCAAATGCAAAAAGGGGAAGGTAGGGTCGTAGGCCTTGGTTGCGCTACTATGGATGAATTTGCAGAGTGAAAACTATTGTATTCAATGCTTCTTTCCTTGCCCGACATTGTTTGTGTTGAGATTTAGAACTTCGGACGAAGGTACGCAATTTTGTAAAACGCATCTCACTTCCTCTTGTTAATCGAACTCACAAATTCACGAGAACATGCAGCTGAGTAGAAATGATATAAGCACGAGAATATGCTCCCATCTGAATAGAAGAAAACAACCATTTTTTAGATACTTTTACCTGCCAAGTTCCCCGTTTCTCCCTCAAAATTTTGTATCAATGTCAAAACGGCGCATTGACACTCTCAAGAAAGTATTTGCATACCCTTGACAACAGTAGAATAACAGAAATGTTTGTTAAGATTTGGCATTCACTGCAACTGCGATGACTCACACTGGAAGTGGTTCCCTTTGCAAATCATCTGCGTAGTGTGCGAAAAATACATCGTTCTGATGTAGATTCTCTTCCACTCTCCACAACAGTCATACCTGAAGCTTTTTAATAGGTCTAGTTATTTTTCTATTCCCTTGACGATCAGGTGCTACTATGTAGAGTACAGAAAAATTTCATAATTTATCTCGAATTGATCCCTTAAGGGGCTATACAAGGTTTGGTTTCAGAATTACCCTTAGATTTGACTGATGAGGTGCAAATGCACATCTTTAACTGCCATACATACATAGATGAAGAATAATTCAAGAATGATTAGGATGATTCAAGAATAATTAGAAGGACCCTCTTTTTCAAAAATTGCGCAGAATAATATGGCGACACATCACTCTAAATGGTATTGCAGTCTTTCCTCCACTTTTCGGCATTAACTAGGTTGGTACAAAAGTTCTTTCGCAACATTTTTGTAAAACATAATTTCTTAACCTCTTAACGATTTGCACAAACTTAACTTTCCTACATAGGGAAAATCCTTTTCTTTGTGAAAATACCTTTGCTGCTCTCTAAAAAGGGTGTAGTTTTGAGATGGAAGCAAGAGAATAAAACTACGTCAATTACGATAATTATGAGTTATGATGCCAAAAATCTGAACAATAAAATTCCGAGCAAGCAGTATAGTAAGTCTTTCGATCCAGCCTTTCCATCTTTGCAGAGTTTGTGTTGAAAGAGCATCCTGTAAAAAGTTATGATTTTCGAAAAAATTAAAATCAAATTTATTGTTCTGTACTACTCATCCAAATACCAGCCTTACTCAAAATGACCGAAGTTGAAGTAATTTTATTCTTCTGCTTCCATCTAAAGCTAACCCTGATAGGGTTTCCTCTATGTGGCAAGATTAATTTTGTGGAAATCCGTTGAGAGAGCAAGAAGCTACAATTTTTCAAAAATGATGCTACAGAACTTTGGCACTAACCTGATATTTTATTCTTTGTCTGTTGAGCTCCACAGATTTTGAACCTAAGTCTTCGCCTATTGATCTTAGCTGATCTTCAAATTTGCTCCTCAAAGTTTTGAGAAAACTAGATCAGAAAATACAACAAACCTTTTCAGAGCATGCAAAGCTTCTACATAGGCTTCTAACTAGCCTTTCGGGCCCTTTTGAAATGATTTTTCCTGAAGCCCCCAAGTGAAAAATTACGTGAAAAGCTCGCCTATATGGCTGCCAACCGTAATGCAATAAACAGTGGTCAGTTGAATGTCATATGGATAAATGGACGTCCCATAAGTGTTATCTTAGCGCCAAATCACATAAACAAATCGATCGCCGGACAGCAGTGGGAGAGCATTTGGTTGAGCACTGGCTATATCCTACTACTTGTTCACTTTCTCTTTTTCCCTTAAAGTTCTGTTTTGAATAGGTTTTTAATCAATAATTCCAGTTTTCCTCATTCCCTTTCGATTCATCAAGACTCAAGATTTTCATTCTAATTTATGTACACTCATATGCTCCTTCCTCTACTATCATAATGTGTGCCTTTTAGAATCATGATTCGGGGGTAAATTGTCGGGAACAAATAACAGAGTTGACTGTATGATTTCCACGGTGCTTGCTCATTTATCATTTCAATTGTGAACTACTCTCATATGCTGTAAATGACCAAAAAATTTTTAGTTGTTCCATAAATTTGTAGCGTTTTAATTTTTCTCTTCTTTTTCTATGAAGCGATGGTTTGCGAGAATATCTGCACGTAAAGCATTTGAAAGTGCTATCTCTGATTTGCAAGAAGTTTTCTGAATCGGAAATTTATGAAAAGTAAATAATGACAGTCTCGGCACTGAATTTTCTCTCCTTTTACAAGGTCACGGAACCTTCAGTTCAACCGAAATTGTTACGAGTGAAACCACTACACATTGCAGCGATTAGACTTGTTCTACTTGGTAAGAAAGAAAGAGTCTTAGACACTAGAAAGTCCTAAAAAGTATAAAACGATTGTTCAAAGACGTCGCATAGATTTGTAAACCGTTTAGAGTAATCACTACTCGAGTAGGGCCGCAATCCTTTGCTAAAACGAGCAATTTAAGCGGCAGAATCACCAGAAAACAAAAAAGCTAGGAATTCAAGGGTCAAGGGTGATTTATTTCCAAGTCAAAAATCAAAGAGCAGTAGGGGTCTTTGGAACATTGCAAAACAAGAAGAATCAAAAGCAATGTTTATTTTGGTGTGAATAAACTGCTCAATAAGCTCAGTGTTGAAAAAGCTACTAATTCAGAAATAATTTTATGCACAAGGGGATTCAACTAATCGGGCTTGAAGAGGATTAGTGATGAAAATAGATAAAAGAATGAATATTGCCAGTGTTGAGCACGCTGAAGAAATGTTCATGGATACAACTAACTGAAATGAATTCTATGAAAAACTGTTATTTAAGGAATGACTCTGAAAAAAGTGAATGGAAAGTGAACGTTCAACAGTAAGCGAACTGAGCAATAAATTAGCGTCGAGTGTGTAAATAATTTAGCAACTTTGACCATTATTTGAGCCAAACGGCCCGAATCTCTGCCTGTTGAAATCAGCTCAGAATGTTACTATGAGACTAATCATCGCTGAAGCACTGCTAACAGTTCAATTGCTGATTTGTTTTGATCAATAACGGTTTGCATAAGCGAAATGAGTCAGAATCGGTTACCCCATTGTTCCATTTACTTTTGTATTATATATGTTGTCAGTGTTAGTTTTTTCTCCCTTGCACACATGTGTTCAAGCCGCCCGTTTCGCTATTTGGATCAGCATGTTCGAGCTTTTGTTATGTGTAATTTGGGTTCCATCGGCAGCATAACTCTCGCATTGGTCACTAACAATATGTCGGTTGTTGACCAAACAGATGGCAAACTTTCTCAGTGTCGTCCGAGTAAACACTCGGCTGAGTTCTTCCGTACTCGCAAACGCAGTAATGCTTCCGCCTTTTACTGTTTTTTGCTGGGATAATAGCGAGAACTTAAGTGTCATTTACTGCAATATTCAAAAATTTTTAGAACACTTTCTTCATGAATTTTAGACCAGAATATCTTCTTTTCAAACTTTACATGTGATCATTTTGTCGGAGTGGTCCAAGCATTGCTAAAAAAATATGAAACAGTCATGAAATTGTTAAAAGAAACCTTTGAATTCATAAGATCCAAATTATTTCAATTATTATGCTTTTTGAATTTTTCACTCCAACTTCGATTTTGTTATATCTACATAGATTTTAAAGTGTAAAAGAGTGAAACTAATGATGTAATATATTTTTGTAAAATAAAAATTGTTTTGCTCTAATGTGCATAGCGGTTTTGATGACAAAATCAAAATGTCGGCCAAAAACCTAAAACTCGAAATTGCTAGTTATTCGTAGATACATCTCATCAGCACAAACTCATTCTAATTGAAAAGAACGATTCGTAGAAATACAATCAAAAATAAAATTGAATTATTCAGGGCCTTTTAGCATTTTTAAGAATCAAAATTTTGAAAAAAAAATGCGATTTGCCTGTTCTTATTTGTCAGCTTGCATCCTGGTATGAATCCGATGTGATTTTTTGTTCGAAGCATATTTAGAAAGCACATGATTTTTACTTTCTAAATTGTGTTATCTCAAACGAACTGTTAAAACCAGTAGATAATACGATTCAGATATTTTGGTGCGAGACTCAAATTCGAAGAACCTTTTCTAGCGTTTAGTGTTGGGGATCAGAATTATTTGTATCATTGCTTCATCTTTTTCATTTGGGGGAATTATGGGCAGTCCTTAACTTTCCCATCGCAGTGCCTCAAAACATCTGGCACTTTGCCAGAAGTGCTTCACCTCTCCTCCAAACAACGTTTTCAATGTTTTCTTCCCCTAAAGTATTTACCTGCACTACAGTTTATTTTCATTCTTCTCCGCCGTTCCTTGTTCGCTTTTGCTTTGGCCAAAACACCTGGTGGCTGCCTTGAAATGTCACTTCGAGTAGCTTCAATCCGGTTGTGACAATTTCTGCTCGCAGTTACGGTTCACTGATACACAATGGAGGTGTCAACACATTTGGTCTCATTCGCTCCGGGTAGAGGTCGCCCATTTTTTCGCGAATCCATGGAAACAACCAGCTTTTCCGCTATCGATGCTGTTCGATTGTTTGGCTTTCTCTCAGTCGATGCATTAATTTGCTTTCAAAATGAAATCCTCTTCATATGGAAATTTGAATGGTTTTTGGATATCCGAAAATACGAATATTTTTTGCAACATGTTGGATACTCTATGGCATGATTTTTCCTCGAATATGTTGAGTTCTATGTTTCAACTTTTTTTTTACATTGATTTTATTTTATGTGGTAACACTTTATCCGGTGCGCTATTTCAATGACTAAATAAAGATGAAATAGAACTGATTCAAGAAATATAGACAACCACATACAGAAAAAAATAATGAGTATAGGGTATGTAGTTGCTAACATCTTCGGGTTTTTTGAAATATTCTAAAGAATTTCATGCTCACCTTGTTTTTGAATCCTTCCCATGCCTCCTAAATTAAAATTTCTATTGTTTTTCGTAAATTTAGTTAATTTTTTTCTTTAAATTTTTGTTTTGAGGCCGTTGGGAATGTTTTGCAATTCTCAATGAAGTAAACTAAAAGTTAAATATGAGTACAAGTGTAAATCAGTGTACGTACTATATTTATGTTCACTTCCTTCCCACACGTTTCCTTAGCGCAAATTTATTTTGTATGCATTCGCTCCTTTTGAAATCATAAATTCTCGGTCCTTTTGAATTACAAAAAAGTGAAAATGTACATGATTTGCAAATTTTTGATGGAATAGCTGATTTTGAGAAAATGGTAGATTTGAATAAGACTGCATAACATTTCCTATTCAAGCTGCGAATTTTTTTTCTTCAATTTGTCAGATTGGTTCACAAAAATGAAGCGTTTTTCTTTCGAAGGAATGCAAGTTTTCAGTCTCTCGAGCTTGCTATCTCTCTCATTTTAGAGTGTTACAATCTTAGCCAGCCATGTTTACTTATTTGAGTGTTCAAAATTTGCTATATCCGGGATTCTTGCATTGACTTACCACTGGTGTTCATAAGTGTTTACCAGGTTTTTAGAATCTTGATTTCACGTTCTTTTCTCCCCGTTTTCTCCAGTCAAAGCCTGTTTTTGTAAGGCAAAGATTACGTGCGTACATTCTCTCCAGACCAATCCAACTCTCTTCAATTTGAGTGGTGGCCAGCCAATTGTTGGCATCAAACTTATTCGCTTTTTTGCTACAATAAATTTCGAATTTTGGTTTCAAAAATAGTTCAAATTTTTCTCTTTGATCAATCTTTCTTTAAAGGCATTTTCCATAGTTTGTGTCTTTGCAAGCATGCAAAACTTTGAATCTGATAACGTACTTTTTCAGATTTGATTTTCCTTGTCATCTCCGTATAATCGATAAGTAATAGACGCTCTTTATAGCATTTTTAACCTACTTCAGTTTATATAATTCAGTATGCGGCAACTAATTTTCTTCGTACTCGTTCCATTACTATCCCAAGGTAAGTTCTATCGTACCTACCATGAATCTACATTTTTTTACCAGAAAGATATTTGTAAAAGGAGAGAGAAGTTCATCTCTAACCAGAAAAATATTTGAGAAGGGGGAAAGAATCGGTTTTCGAAAATACTCTATCAGCCTCACATTTTTATCCCGTTTTCAGTTTTCATTTGAAAAACTTACGATTTATACTGATTGTTTATACTAGCACTTTTTCAAGAGAGTTGTCATTTTTAAACAGCTCATTTTTTTGCTTCAGTCTCTTATGACAAGTCTAAAAACAGTTGATGTAGATTCCAGCTCTCGAATTGCGTCACCCTTGCAACCTATCAGTGGACCTTGGTGATACGAACTGCCAAAATACCTCCTCCATCAGAGTGAGTTATTCGCAATCTTCATTACCATTATATCAAAAGTTACCACGTTTTAGTACTATCTAGACGCAGAAACTCTCTCGTGCCTTCCCTTCAGATACACTGGATGTGGCGGAAACGAAAACAACTTTGAATCACCGAGCATCTGCCATATGAGATGCATTCCAAGTCAGTTTTATTCATCTTTTTGCCCAAACCAGACATGAGAAAGATTCAAAGTATTGAAATTTCAGTGGATTATCACACATGTCCAGCCAACAGACCACCAGTGAAGAGAGCAGATGGTTCGGCAAGCTGCAACGATGAAAAGAAGTGTCCAGAAGGATCCAGATGCCTGAAGGGATTCGTTGTCGGACTCTGCTGCGACATCAAAGAAATTGGTAAAACTACAATATAAATTTGCCTTTTGAAAACAAATTTACTAATTCTAATTATCAAACGTATCTTAGGTTGCAAAAAGGGTTTCTTTTTTGATTTAGGAACATTTTCATAACTAGACTTCAAAATTTTCCCTCATTCTTAATCACCAATTATAGAGGGTTATAGCTTTTCGACAAGTACATATTACCTATGAAAAATTCAATTTGAGTTCAGGATTTTTTCGAATTATTTTTGGCACATTTCTAACTTGCAAAAGCTTAAATTTTTGAACTGCCTTCATATAAGCAGTTAGCTCTTAGAAATCCATGAAAGTTTCTTCGTCTTTCCGGCGATTATGTCTTTGGACTATTTGCTTAGTGTTTACTAGGATAATCGCAGAAATTTTGCTTAATGTTTACGCAGAAATTTTGCAATCCTTGGTTTTCACCATGCAAATTTTTGAAAAATTTTCAAATTTTTCATTCTGAACCTTTGGAAGAGTTTTGATAGCAGCTAGGTAGAGCAAACAGTACGATACTACGAATATTTTTGGAATCCACAGCTGGTTTTTTAAGAACCGAAATTATTTTTATTATGCCACGAAAACAAATAATTTCAAAATATGACCATATGAAAGAGAAAGAAAAGCTGTGTCGAGATATTCTCAAAATGGTAACCCGTCTTCATTCTACGGGTTCTTATAACGGATCAAAAAACCGAAAGAACTTCCAAAACGCTACTTATATGCCTACACGAGAGTTTGTTGGAGTCTCTGAAGTTTTCTGATAAAATAAAAAAGGTAACCAGACCTAAATCAACATTCATACTATCTGCTCTACTTGCTGTCTTTGCTGCATATTTCGTCAGAAGTATAAGACCATGAGAGGTGGAATTTCCTTTTAGAAGTTACTCACCAAATTTTATCCTTGATTCACTTATGACAGGAAAAAAATCATCTTTTATGCTAGTGTTGCTCCCTAGTTAAGGAGTATCCACATCTGTTTGAAAAAGGAGAAAGTTGAGGGGAGGGGTGGAGAGAAGCAGAAGATCTTCTAACTTTATCGCACTAATGATCTCCTATCATTATTGCAATTGTCTTGAACATTTATGAATGTAAATACCAGAATCTCGGACCTCTGATGTCGCTTACAACACAACTACAATTACGTTCTATGTTTCCATTCAGATAAATACCACGACGATAATAAGCCCGATTGCGGTCATAGAAAGGTGGTAACGGAAAAATTGTACGGATTTCCTGTAAGTTCTTCTGTCAGTAACTTTTAGATGAAATGGAGACTTCGTGGCTCAAATAGCACTTTATGTGACTCTTTCAGATGACCTTGCATGGTAAGGAATGCGAGCACAACTTCTGTCCGAAAATATCCGAATGTCGAAAAGGACACTTTTACGCGTACTGTTGCAAATGAGTAAAGAAACCAGCCAGGATGAAGCCTTTGCATTGCCAGCTTTATTGTGACGAGTACGAGAAATAAAGTTTTTTAACCTATGACTTGCAGCAGCAAAAGACGAAGTGGTTGACATTAAGAAGAGGTATTATACTACGCTAGCAAAAACGGTCTTACAGTATTATCTCTATGATAACGATTCTACATTTGAAAAGAAACGCTGTGATTGAGATAGAGGAACTGATTTCTCCTTGAATTGAAGAGAGAGAGAGAGAGAGCTGGAGTAATCCATCATGACTTATAATAACGGGCTAAGGGTGTTTACGTGACTTTGTGTGTGTGCGTGTCTGTTAGGAAATTCGTAGAGCATGTTCCAGCCAACCTCCTGGGCTCAAATTTTGCACAGCGCATGCTACTCACATGAAAGTCCAATATGCAAAAGCACGAGCAGTTTCGTTGAGTGGATACCTCAGAAACTGCGCGTCAAACGGGACCATTTTGCATTTGGGCCACAAAATAGGGTCCGCAATTCCACTTTCTGCAGTGTCGTGGATGTTTATGCCAAGTAAATGTGCAAGCCATCAACTTAGGCCCAAAAAAGTGATCAAAAGTCTATTACTCTACGAAAACGACGCCAAAAAGTATTCGTTGCGTAAATGGTCAATTTGCCAAGGTTTTACCAGAGCATTTGACGAGATTTTTGCACAGAGATGTGGCTCACGGTGACTGCTGTTCTTATTGCAACTGTCAGGACATGGGAAAATCAAAAACATAAAAATTTGCGTTTGTTCTCCTGCAAAAAGTCTCATCCACACGAAATCGCCGATTTAACATAAAGAAGCTTTAGGGATGAGTAGTTGTTTACATTTTATTCGTGACAGTCGGCATTGCTGGTGAATTCCATTGTCATCATTATGCGAGAATGAGTAGGGCCGAGATAGTAGAGCCAGTGCGAGCCTCTGCGAAGCAGAGGTAACGCATTGGTAGAAAATAATGTGCTGTGATCTCCGCTTTATGAAAATAAGCTTTGACTACAGAAACGGAAAGAAAAAAAAACGCAGAATGAATCATAATCATCAATATCCCAACCCATACGAACATCATTTTTTGGTTGTACATTAGGCAAACAAGTCAATACGAGGTTGTTCAAAATTTCTGTCCAGTTTGCAAATTTTCTAGTTGCATAGCAATTAGTGAGCAAATGAAAAAAGCCAGTATTTGAGCCCTTATCCGCGTGCATAAATACGCCGACTTTGAAACTGCATCTGAAAGAAAGGCCATCACGGCTAATATTTATAGACGTTCTGGACATCTGCAAAGGCTCCGGAACATTCCAAAAGTAATTTTGCTCTTTCAAAGGGTGCCACACTTGATGAAGCAAAGATTCCGTAAAGATCTTTCTAGCGTTCAGTGCAGCATTTCATCCTCTTTCTGGAGGCCACAAATTCATTGCAGCGATAATTGAGCGCTCGAAAAATTATTTAAAACTGTGACCCACGCTTTTCAAAATGCTCAAGTTTCACAATTTTTCAAACTCTGCTAACGGGTGGATAGAGCAACCTATACGAAACAGTTTTTTTCTTCTTTCCATAACTCATCATGTTTTTGAACGGAACTGATGCTACCATTTCCATATTTGGTCAACTCAAACCTCCTAGACCATGGTGGAATGGTGAACAGCTCGGGTGTCAGACGCAGCTTTTTCTCCCTTTTCCAATGGGTGTTTTTTCGCTTCATGGAGTCTTCGGAGTAAAATCGTCTCAACTCATGTTTTCGAACACGCCCCTGGCTGTACCCGAAAAACTCGAAATTAGTTTCTAAAAAAAATTTAAAAGTTATGGCGATATATAGAAGTGAGGAAAAAAAGTGCTGTTTCCTGTAGGTCTACTCTGTCCATTTCATTGGAATCCTTCGAAGGGTACTTACTTAGATACTTAGATGGCCCGTCCCTACGTGACTTGCGGTCTCAGCACAGGAGTTGCCATTGATCCCTGTCCCTCGTTTCGGACATCCACGATCTTCTTGGTCGTCGGCGGTGGCTGCGTCCACGAGTTCCAGAGGCGGGAATCGTATCCAGCTGATTTCTCGGCTGGTCCATCCGTTCCACGAACACGTCTGCCCATCTCGTCGGTGGTCTCCCTCGAGGACGTTTGGCTTCGCGAGGAATCCACTCAGATGTTCTTAGTGACCATCTATCGTCCGTTCTTCTCATTATGTGACCCGCCCACCGGTGTTTCGCTTTCGCAACGTATTCCGCTGGGTCACAAAGACGGGACATTCTTCTCATATCCGTGCTGCGAAGTCCGACTAGATGTTGCTTGCGTCGGGTCATCTTCAGAAGACTGTGCTCGAGCGCTCTGTGGGTGGTCCTTAAAGCTTTAGACACGGGGTCGGCCCAAGACTCAGCTGCGTATCAAAGCGCTGGGAGAACGGTTGAGTCGAACAGGTGGGCACAAAGCTCCGGGTCCGTCAGTTGGTCGGTGGCTTCCTTCAGAGGCCCGAAGGCGGCCCAGGCTGCTCTTCTTCTCCTGTTAAGTTCTTCCCTCAAGTCGTTCTCCGTTCATCGAACGTCCGAGATACACGTAAGAAGACGTCTCCATAATCGTGGTGCCTTCCAATTCCATTTCTGCATCTTCGCAAAGAGTGTTCCTCATGAACTGAGTCTTCTTCCGATTTATTCGCAATCCGATCTTCTTCCCTACTTCGTTTAGTCTCTTCAGCATCGTCTCTGCTTCGGTGATACTGATCGAGAAGAGAACGATGTCGTCCGCAAAACGAAGGTTGGACAGGAATCTCTCATCAACTCGTATGCCTCTCTCTTCCCAGTCTAATAACTTCATCACCCTGCAAGGCCGCGGTGAACAGCTTCGGCGAAATAGTGTCGCCTTGTCGAACCCCCTTCTCAATTGGAATGGTTAGAGTGAGATGGAATAGCTGCATCGTTGTTGTACAGTCCTTGTAGCAGTCGGCTAACGTCCTCACGTAAGCTGGGTCCACTCCTTGATCGACTAGCGCAGACAGGATGGCGTTGGTTTCGACGCTGTCAAAGGCTTTCTCGTAGTCGACAAAGGTTAGGACGAGAGGCAGTCGGTACTCCCGGCAGACTTCTATGACCCTCGAAACGGTCTGGATGTGGTCCATGCAGCTGAATCCTTTGCGAAATCCAGCTTGTTCTTGGGGTTGGGCTTCATCCAGTGTCCCTGATATGCGAGCGAGGATAATCTTCGTGAAAAGCTTGCACAGCACATCAGCAGCCATATTGGACGGTAATTTCGAAGATCTTCCCGTTCACCCTTTTTGAAAAGAAGGACGGTTCTTGACGTTTTCCACTGGTCGGGAATCCTCTCCTTCTGAAGGTAAGATGTCAGGTGCGACGCGAGAATCTCGCGTAGACGTTGTCCTCCGGCTCGCAGAAATTCGAAGGAAAGATGGTCTGGTCCTGGAGCTGTGGGTGTCTTCATGATCTGAATCACCGTGCGCACTTCAGCAGGTAGAATTCGTGGTGGTGCTTCTCCAGTGGGAACAGCGGGCATCGGCACGGATGTTGATGAGCGGAAGAGGTTGGTATAGAAGTTCTTCGCGATAGATTCCATCTTGTATCGGGAAGAAGTCGAAGTCCCGTCTTCGTTCAATTGTGCAGCCAGCAGTACGTGATATTCACAAAGGTTCCTTCGGCATTTCTTAAGCCTTCGTCCTCCTTCGGCTGCTTCCAGTACCTTGGCTTGCCTGTACCTCCTGAGATCCTCCTGCAAAGCTGTTCTGCAACTGGCGTTGGCTATCAATCGCTCGAGATGCGTTGCATTCGGATCCTGCCTCAATGATCTTCTTCTTTCGAGCAATTCCTTGGTGGTCTTCGAGATGCGGTCCAAGTTCTTCTCAGAAGTCACTGAGGCGCATTCTCCGCAGGCTCGCAATCCTTTCAGAAGCCGGTCGTAGTCGTACGTTGGGTCCTCCCCGACGGGCCAGTCACATCTTAATATGGCTCCTAGCCTGTTACCGTCATAAACGACTTCCTTCCTTCTCGCGGCACTGTGACAGACTTTCTTTTCCAGCTTTCGGCTGAGTCGTATCTTCGCTCGAAGGAGGCGGTGATCGGAGCCACTGCAGAAGAATGGAACTACTCGAGCAAGCTCCACCTTCGGTTGGTGAGAACGTGGTCGATCTCCGCGTGAGTCGTTCCGTTGGGCGATTCCCATGTCCAATGGCGATTTTCTTTCTTCATGAAGATGGAATTCCATGGAAGAGTCGTGCGGCGGAGAGAAGCCCAGCAAGACGGTTGCCGTTTCGATCCGGAGCCCATATCCAAACTTCCCGATCCTATATTCCTTTTCTAGTGGCATCCCGATTTTCGCATTGAAGTCGCCCACAACATACTTGTAGAAGGACTTTTCGTTGCGGACGACCTCCTCCACGTCTTCGTAGAAAGCATCTAGTTCTGAGTCGTCAGCTGCTGATGTCGGAGAGTAGCAGTTGATGATGCTGATGGTCTTCTGACGTGGAGGGCGTAGTCGTAGAATGGCTAGTCGGGGTGATAGGATCTCGTGCGAATCGACAAGATGGACGATAGATGGTTGGATGACAAAGCCAACGCCTCCCACGTTTCGTGACGGAACCTTCTCACCACGAATGATGAGCGTCCCATCATTCATCTGTCGTACGTCCTTCTTCCTGGACTTCGTTTCCTGCAGAGCGATGATGTGGTACTTGATGTGCTTTGCAGCGTCGAGAAGAGTCTGGAGGTCGGCGTTTGTGGAGACTGTCCTGGCGCTGTAAGTGCAGAGCATGAGGCAGTCTCCGTGGCGTGTCGTCCGTGCAGACGTGTCGTTTTTGTCCAATCCAAAAGGCGCCCTGAGGACCCTGACAGCAGTCGCTACCACCCGGCGCCGTAGGCGGGATCCGATGTGCAGGATTTCTTTCTATTCTTCTAACTAGTAGAGTAATGAAATTTTTCCTCTACAAGAGCAGACATACTAGACCAACTCTTGATTTCCACGGGCGATCGCTGACCCCGGGCTTGGAGCGGGGAGAACCGCCTAGCGACTTGAAAGCCAGACGGCGGTGGATCTGACCTGACCGGCTCTTAGCTAGGCATCCGGCCGAAACCGGAAACGTCGAACTCCTTCACAGCTTGGGAGGCCCTGCCAGAGTACACTCGGCTGTGCATCGCAGTTCGACACCCAGTGTCACCCCCACGCCACGATGATGCGGCCGACCATTGTGGGGGTCCTTCGGAGGGTTGACATAAAAATTTAGAAAAATTGTGAAACTTGAGCACCTCAAAAAGCATGGGTCGTGAATTTTGGTTTTTCCAGAGCTCATTATTGTACTGAGAATTTATAACCCTTAGAAAGATGATGATGCTGCACTGAATGCCATAAAGGTCTCACAAAAACTTTGTTCCATTAAATGTGGCGTCCCTTTGACAAGAACGAAATTACTCAATAGCATGGGTCGCAAAATTTAAGAAGTTACTTATCTACACGAGCTATAAAATGTACAAGTGGCTTGTTTACACGGGAAAGTCTTGTAGCCTAGTATTTTTCTGATAAAAACAGAACGGAACAACATAGGGATAAAATTTGGTGTACATATTATTCGAACAGTAGCAAATACATCACAACATTCGAATTTCGTGGTAGCGGCTACAATGTGTTCCAAAACCAAGTTCGTCATCCGTGTTGCATTAGATTCCCATCTAGAAAACATGCGAAGAGGATATTACTCCAAATTCAGTGACTGCTGCACTTCTACACATTTGAAACTAATTTCAAAGACATAGTTGCAGTGGCACGCATTGGAAATTTCCAGGTATTAGGTTGTCCCGAAAGTTTTGTCGGTTTTTTCATATCGCTATAAAATCACGCACAATAAAGACCTGAATGAGCTTCAACATGCATTCGATGCAGCCTTTCCTTCTCTTTCTTATGGTTACATCTTCTAGCCATAATCCTGCATTCTTTTTCTGATAATTGCTAAATTTTGTCACCCCTCATTTTTATCTACCCAAAGTTCGGCTAATTTCACAAATTTCATTTGAAAGTTTCGGAAACGTTCAAGTATGGAACAGATAAAACATTTCTCGGACTACATGGTAATGTTTTTAGATTCTCCTATTCTGCTGTTTTTAGCTCCAAAAAATCATTTCTTTCAAGGTCTCGTTTTTTGGCAAAATCATGAAACACGCAACTGTAGCAAAAACAATTGGAAGTATTTGGAATTTTTGCGAATTGGTATTTGTTTGTTATTAAACATTATTTATGCAGCCTATACAAGTTTGATCTGCTTTGAGAGGTCACTTTTTGGAGTTTTCGGTACTTTTACGTGTTGAACGTAATCAAAATGCCTTGGTTTTTCTTACATAAATTATTATTACGGACTTGTTAGACATGCCCCATGTAGTCCAAAATATATACGATGTAGCCAAAGGTTTGCTCTACATAACAGCTACCAGCGCTGTTTAGAATAATCAAAATAAAAATTTTCAAAATTCAGAAAGTTTTGACAATACTGTAAAGCTGCTCGAAAAGCCATAACGATAACATCGCAAAGGCAGAGCAGATCAGAGAGCAGATATAGCTGTAAGAAAGAGGACAAAAACGTGAAACAAACGATACCTAGATCGTCCATGGATTAGTGTTCTGTGGGTTTTAGTGAGCGATGAAAGAAACCGACAAAACTTTCGGGACAACCTAATATTTTCGCGGCTCTCTTGACGAAATGGATTTTTAAATGCAGCCATTATAGTGATAGTAGTGCAAAGCCTCCTCTATATTGTGGATATAAATTTGCACTGCGGTGTGCCAAATTTTTGCAGTAGCGGAATAAATTTCAAACTTTTAGGAAATAGCTTTTTGCGTTTTGAGGTAGAAATGGTTTGATAATTTTATTTTTTTCAGTCAAACATGAAGATCATTTTTTACCCCCAAGGATGTAACTTACGAAGAATGATTGGAGGAGTCTGTGGTATAAATTTGAGATCAAAATCGTCAGTGATTGTTGAGTTAAAGTAGTGCAATAGGCTACAAAACTTTTGGGACACACTGTACTTGTACTTAATCGAATAATTTTTAATTAATTCAAAACTAAAAGCGATAAAATAGCATGCCAAAGAATTTTTTGGATTTGAAGAAAATATTTGCTGCTTCCCACCGCCACTGTAGTTAGTAATTTGGTAGTTAGTAACTTAGAGTGCATTCTACTGTACTACTCACTTGTCCGTCAAATTCTGCCATTTGTGTACGTGCGGACAACTCGAATAGCGGTGGTATAAGTGTAAGTTTATCTGTCTATAGATTCTTATAACATGAAGTTGAAATGAAGCCCAAACTGGCTGTTTTGGAAGAGATTTGTAGTAGTCTGTAATTGCGGATTGATACTTTGAGTCGTTATTAGGCTTTGAGGACGCTGAAAGCGTCGAAAGGTTAAGACAACTTGAATAGAAGTGCCACTCTAACAATCTTACACGGCACAATAAAGCGGAAATTGTCTTTTTTACAGAATTTAATGTTCATAATCTTTATCAAAGCTACAATAATTATCATAAAATCACCGCATGAATAATAATTACCTCGTAAATTCAGTATCAGCTACAACGTTTTCTAGAACAAACAAAGTGATACATGAGATTTTTGTCTCGCTTATGATTACTGATATATCTCAGAGCACAAAGCGCTACATCGTCAGCTACCAATAATTAATAATTGAACGGAGAGATAAACCAAGGAATACGCGGATCAAGGCTCAGCTAGCTACCAAACATGGATCAACAAATGTGATGACACAGGAAATGCAAATCTAAAATGGGAAATCGAATGCTAGATGCATAGCTAACTCGCAGTCTAACACCTGATCCTTAGAAATTCTTTAGGCCTTGATTCTTTGACAAGAGGTTGTGGGCCTACAGAAGCTTGTGGCCTGCCGCATCGCATAGGGCAAGCGCAGCGAAAGGCCACAGAATTCGACGAAACATATGACTTCCAAATCATTTTAGGAGGCTCGAATTAAAATTGTGATTAGACCCACAACACTTGCCGTTATAATAACACAGATACAACCAATCAATCAACAAGCGAAATTTGACGGCTAAATTAGACCACCTAATCTATGCCCTGTCTCAACGACAGCGTCGCCGTGTAGTGCGGATTCGGGACGCCTCGCTTGGGCATTGCGCCGCGTCTGCGGACTGCGCTCTAGACACTCCGAGAGCATACGCTCTCCGTTTAGGTTTGAGAATGCTCACTGGGTACTCCGCAGACGCGACGCACGGTCCAAGCGAGGCGGCCGCACAGGAGCCGGGCCACATAGACCGGCGACACTGTCTTTGAGACAAAGGGAACTTGCTGCTATTGCTCGATAAATTACTCTATAGATTTGCTTACTAGTCTTAGCTACAACTCCTCATCTAAAGGAAGAGTATTTAGAAGATTAATTTAATATTGTCTATCACTGGTTGTGCACTTTCTCTGCAGAGTCCTTCTCTTCTTCTGCACTCTCCTTCTCTTTGCTGGTTTTACGCTTCGCAAGTTCTTCATTTATCACATTTATAATGTCCTAAAAAAATTATATGGTACTAAGGCCCCAGAGCTTTCTTGCTCACCTTGAAATTCTTCCGCTTTGCCTCGCTCATTGGTGTTGTGCCAAAATCGTCAACAACAAAAGGATCGAGACCTTGCTGCATGAGATATTTGACTGCTTCTATCTGATGATGATTGACTGCCTCAAAATGCAAAAATTATTCGCTGTCATCGGAAATGAATTTTTACTTTTCATACCACATGCAAAGCTGTTCTTCCATCATAATCTGTCTCAATAAGCCCACTTCCAGCTGCTTCCCAACATCTCAGCTGCTCAACATCTCCATGAGCTGCGGCGAGACAAAGATCCACACCTGGGAGGAAAGTCCATTATATTTCCGAAGCATAATTGGGGGAATGGAGAGGGAAGGAGGGGAAGGGAGAAGGGGCACGAAACATGCGGAAAGTGACAATAAGTGCAAAATGGGTGGAAGACTATAGTATGTCGCCGAAAAGGGGCGGTCCCGCGGTCATCTGCAACAAATACGCACCCTTGCATATGCACGGAGATGCGTACCTACAAGAAATCCGCGCGGGATCCTCCCACAATCGGCGACATATATGTTGCCGATGGAGGACTAATAGTTTCCACCCGTGAGAAATGTAAGCAACTTTAACCCCCGCCCACTACTGCGCCACGTCACCAAATCGTGTGAGAACGTATTTCGGTCAAGACCTCAACCGCCTGTGTTTGACCGAAAATGCTATAGGCGGAGCGTGTATTTTTAGAAGGAAATTTGGAATTATTGGCTTCAGTAGCACTCAAAATTTTTCCAAACAGGACAATCATGCGTGAGAGCTTACCAAGTTTGAATTGTGGAATGTCGATGACTCCACCAGCTTTACGAAGTTCTTCAACACATTTACGTGCTTTAGCTTTTACTGCACAGAGAAGAGGATTGTAGCTGAAGAGATCCCTGAGAAATCGAATCTTCGGTCAAAAGCTATTTGTGAGGAAAATGTATGAGCAACATACTTGGCATGGATATTTACACCGATGCTAAGCAAATAACGAACAGCTTCGAGGTTTCCATTAGACGCAGCCACGTGAAGCGCAGTTCGCAGGTTGTAGTCAGGGCTGGAGAAATTGACGCCAGCTTCCTAAAACGAACGCAGGAGATGATTTTTCCATTGGACTTTCATTTGCTTTTTAAGAGAAGTCCCATCCGTTTGCTACCGTTCACTCTTCAACATAATGTCTTCTCCTTCTCCTACCCATATTCTTTGCTGTTCTTATTATGTAAGTCTCGCAATTAAAGCTGCGTCAGAGTTTCTATTCCAGCGTCGTTCCTGTGCTGTGCTAACGCCGTGCCGGAACGGCGATGGATCAGTGCGAGGTCGGGCACGAGGGCTCCGGCACGGCGCTAGCACGGCCCTGGCCTAGCAACCATGGCCAAGAGTTTCCTTCTCAGAGACCGTTTTGTATAAAATTTCTTTGCAAAGAATTACCCAGAGGTCTCCCAAAACAGTTCTTGACTTCACAACAGATTTGGCCAATATTGTCTGCAATCACGTACCTTAATACTCTTCAATATCTCCGGTTTGTTCGTTTTTGCGGCATTACAGAATAAAGGTGGAAGAATTGTGTCACGGATCAGTTGCACTTCATTGCCTGACGATAACCGCAAGCACTTCGCAATGTGCGGAACTAAATTGTTTTTCAAATTAATGAAAATCGTTGAGAAAGAAAAAAAAAGTAGATTTACTGATGTCAAGTTCACGCATTTTCACGTCTTCGTTCGTCACAGTCATCTCACCACGTAGATTTGCTTGTAGCATCTGTAAATGCACTTTTGTTATGCTACAGTTGTTGAGCGGTATCGGACAAACATGTGAGAGCAAAGAACTCACCATTCGCTTTGTTTCGTGATCCCATTCGTCTTTACCAAGCACATAACACATTTTAGCCATTGCCGCTTCAGAAGTCATATCCGAACCGGGGATAACGCCAATGTCGTAGAGAATCTGTGATAGTGAATTTAGTCTAGAAAGTTGGATTAGAAGGTCATGGCCTTGGAAAGGCATTTGCGAGGACAGCAGCAGATTTCCAGGGCATTTTTGAAAGATGGGAACAATGCAGAATAATCAAAAGTGTACAGTTTGCCTCTTTTCGTAGCTAACCCCAATAAGCACCCTCTAGAGACTTGTTGAAAGTATGATTTGAAGTTAGAATATGAACAACATCTAGCCACAATCGATCAGGACATCTCATCAATGATTCAAAACAACCACATGATCTATGATGTTATCGAACAACTGTTATAAAAAAAAAACGATGATGAAGAAACACTAAAATCAATATTTACTTTTTTAGGATAGGCCAGCCTTATTCCTAAACAAGAGACAGGATAATGAGGTCCGTTTCTTGCATAAATACGTTGCAGAAGGGACAGAAGTATTCATTCTTGAAAAAATAGCTCATTTTTCTATGCTTACGATTGTGAAGAAGCATTTACTTACAAGGAGAAAAATTGCTTGGAAAGTACACGATTCTGCTTGTCGCTTATTGAGCAATGATTAATTGACAGATATGAGATAAGATAATCGTTAGCAAAAATGAAAAAAGTTCTACTTGGGCGATAAGACTTTGTACTTTTAAGAATCTTAGATCGAGTGATGGCAAGGAACATGCAAAAAAATCGAAGAGGTTATCAGAAGGACAAAAAATGTAGCGATTAGCATTCGTGATTTAGTAAGCTTAGCTTATGTATGTAGTAATAATCCGAGCAGAATGTGATAAGGAAGAAATCGGGATAATAGTATTAGTATTCTGAAGACGATTAAATGATAAAAAAACATGCTGTTGTCGACCTTTTATTAACAAAGCATTCAATGCTTAGAATTTTATCGTGATGAAAATACTTCTGTAAGGTACGGCATACCTCTAGACGAATCCATATTATCAGTAAAACAACTAACAAGCCTCAGTACCAGAAAAAGTCAGAGATTTTTGGCTTTTTGCCAATCAGCCCATAAAGGGCTAACTCTGAGCTGTCATGAAAGACTTGACTATGCGAGGGTGTTACAGTAGGTGAACGAATAAGTGAAAACTAGAATTATACCTTGATTTAACTGGATGGGCGGCTGGAAGGCGGGGCTTCGTGACCTAAGGCTAGGGAATGATCAGAGAGCGCGCGCGAGAGAAAGACGCAGACTACGTCGCGGCGCCCGGCCTCAATTAGGTCATCAAGCTCCGCCTTCCAGCCGCCAATCCAGTTGAATCGAAGGTTACTGGTAGTTCTGCTACGGTAACAAAGATATTCTCACCTTTCCGGTAGCGTAATTTACATCCACTTGTCCTCGGAGACACTGGGAACAATTCACAACCAGACATCCTCGAGCAATTGCTTCCTATGAATATGTGATGATTTTCACTTTGTGATATAAAACCTTGAGAAACTAACTTTCAAAGCTTCAATGATGTCTTTCCGACGGGTTGGCATGTTGCCAGCGCCGAAAGTTTGCAGGATGACACCTTTTGTAGGTGGAGCGAGGAATGCACGGACCTGCAATAAGAATAAATCTTATCGAGCTGACCTTTTGACTTTTTGCATCTTATATGTAGAACTTACAGATTCAATGCTCATTGAGGGGAAAATTCGCAGTAGTCCAACATTGCGGCATAAATTATCATGTACAACGAATGGGTTAACGACGGTACTGCGAAATATTGAATCGTAATTTACTAAAATAAAAAGTTATTTGGTCTTGAAAACAAGGAGAACGCTTTTACGCTCAACTCACCTTGAATTTTGATATTCATCCTAGCTAACGGTTGCATATTTGGACTATCGAAAGCTTCTAAAGCCGCATTATCCATTTTGACTGTACGATTTCCTCGCATCAATTTATTGTTGAAGTAGACGCACACCTAAGAAAGTAAAATAATCATTATCAATTGAAAAATCATTATATAACAGCAAAAATTCACCTCGGGGATATCATAATTGCCAGCAATGATCAATGCTCCAACGAGATTTTCCATACCATCGGAACGAACCTCGGCGACTGGGATCTGCAAGACAGAAGGTCAAAATGCAGAAAGAGAAACTATAAAATATTCCCCTACCTGGCTTCCTGTGATTATTACTGGTTTTCCAAGGTTTTCCATCATAAATGATAATGCGCTAGCTGTATATGCTAATGTGTCGGTACCATGTAGTACGACAAACCCGTCATAATTGTGATAAGCCTAAAAAGAACGGTACAATGTTCTGCTCCAAGTTTTGCTTTTCAACAAAAAAATCATCAGGGGTTTGGTTACTGCGAAAAGACCATTTCTTTTTCTACAAATGTTAGTCACTATTTTGACATGCTCACTAAGAAAAGTTTGAGCGAGACTTTAATTATTCATCTAGTTGAGAGTAAGGACAAAAAAATTTCTTTGGAGCAAAATTCACACCTTTCTAATATCAGTTGCAATTCTGATCCAGTCGTCGAATGTCATATCACAAGAGTCCAGAAGAGGCTCATATTCGACTATCTGAAAAATTTACAGCTATTCAATCAGTAGCATGAAATCAACTTTCTCTTTTTGAAAAATAACTCACCCAATATACAACCCGTTTTTTCATAAGTCTCACTGGTGGCAAAGCATATGGTTTCACCGGTGAGTTAGCAAAATTCTTCTCTATGAATAATTTATCATTAAGTGGTGGTATGGTGCGAATCACTTCAGGTAAATAGCCGGCTTGTGGTGAGTAAACTGAAAGTAAAATAGTACTCATCAAGGATATGAGATTTTTGGAGAAAATTTTGGGAGATTGCAGTAATCTGAAGATGAGAAATTTCGAGTGGGTTCCATTGTTGACAATCAATTATTCTTCGCCTTTTCTCCTAATGTCATAGATTTTGCCGTACAAGCATAGGAAAAATTACGGAAATACAAAGCAGGGCCTGGAACGAGCTGGCACGTCGCAAGCTACATATCATTTCTGGGACAAAAAGCAAAGGGAATATTGTTTTTGTGGCCGAAAATTGTGGCGCTTTCTAAGACGACGTTTCGTTTTTTTATTGTTTTTTTACGTTCAGTGTTTAGGTCCTGAGGGGACTTCGTAAAGTGAGCGAAAGTCAAGGGACTTCGTTTTGAAAATTCCCTGGTACCGCTCGTGCCGAGCGCCTTGATACAAAGGACCAATTATTCTTTGAAACAACCGTTTTCATATTTTCCAATCAATTTTCCACTTCGTCCGCCGAATGTGAGAGATTCTGCAACTTTGCTAGAGTGCTAATTTTATCATCTTCATTGAACTGATAGTAAGACATTTCGAAGATAATTCTGTTCATCAATGCTATCACCATATCAAAACGAGAGAAGAGCGACGACGGGTTTTCAAGGATTGTTGTCTTATATAAACAAATGGCGTCGACGACGAAGCGACAGCAAATCGCATTTCCATGACATAGGTTAGTATAAAGAACATAAAAAAGCAAGCTTCTTCAAGCAATGTGAAAGAAAATACGAATTCTAGAGACCGACTCAAGGTGTAGTTAGAGAAAGTAAGAAAAATTCCCCCCTTTATGAAAGAATCCGAAGGCAAAGGTAATTGATCTTTTCTGCTATTTTCAAAAGTATCTCACAAATTATCGAGCTTATATGATTTTATTTTTCACGAATTACAAAAAAGATTTGTGACGAAAGTGCACCACAGACTAAAGGGGATCAGAGGAAATACAAAATTCAAGTAATATTTCTGTCCATGCTGCTCAAATGGAATGACAGCATTATTTATGAGTTCAATAAAATTCCATTCACAATCAGGAGATCATCTAGTGCTTGTTTACTCGTATCCGTTTTTCTTTCTGCTCCTAGAGTTTCATTCTTTTCCAGAAAAATTCTCAACATCCTAAAGTCGCTTTGCTATACGAGATGCATTCATCAATCTTTGTTCTTTCGTTGAAAGATTCTTCCTTATGTCCAAAAAACCAGCTTAGCTGACAATTCTGTTCAATCGGGGTAATAAATCGAACGTAGACTGAGCAGAGCGAAAAGTTCTCGCAATCCAATGAACCTTGTAGGTTGTGGTTTGCGTACGAGTTTTCTCATGAAAATTTATGGCACTGAGCAAACAATGAAGCGTGATTTTCTAAAGGTTTTTGCACAGTTATATAACTTAAGAAAGCAAGAAAAAGGCGAAGAACGCTTACGCCACATCCATTGAGTACAACTGTTGGCAAAAAAATGAACAAAAAAGAAAAAAATGGGTAAGCCAAGCCCATACGCTTACTTACCACCATCGGACCCACCTCCGTCTTGACTTTTCATTCCTATCGTACCACCCGTATACAAGCACAATACTCGTGTTTCGGGTAGTTGCTGGGGGGCATCGAGGGCTGGTGCGATTTTTGCTTCATGCAAATCATGGACCAGGTTCTGCAAAAATCTCTAAAAAATATCAAAACGAAAAATTTTCTAGCAGATTTGGTGACAGGTAGGAGTTTTTGAAGGTGACAAAAATCAAATTTTACCTCTTCAAGATCAAATCCCTCAAATATTCACTACATTTTCAAAGGCACACAACACAAGTTATCTGAAATGTCCAGGCAAAAGCCGGGTACAATTCTTTACTTTTCAAAATTTATAATCCTACCTGCAAGATCTGACTTAGAATAGAACTAGGTTCATAAAAATATGCTGGAGGACTTTCAAAGTCATGACTAGGGTACACTAGAGCAGTAGCGACAGCCATTTCGACGGCGGGATTACGGTATGACTATGGTAGGATTACGGTAGCAGAGCAGTTGATGCGGAAGTGGCCTTTGCGTGTGTGCAAATTGCGGACTGACGCACCGGTTGCGTTCATCCGCACGCAAAAACCGCCTTCCGTTCTCACCACTGTACGCTCCGACGGCAGCAGTGCTATTTCGCGGAATCTCTCGTATCTGATCACTTTCTACGCAAACTACGCTCTCTGCGTGTCTTGGATCGCAGCCAAAACTTCAAGTGAGAGAAATGATGCGTTTGCGCTGTTTGTTGGTATGCGCACGAGCGGATGAGAACAAAAAGTAGCTCCAGTGCGAAGTTAGTTATGGCATTACGAATTTATTGATTTTTTGAGAAAATATTTAACTCACCGTCGCAGAAACGTTTCGCATGATGTTACCATCATGGATTTTGAGCAATTTTGGCATATGCGATTCATCTAGAGGCCTTCTTGGTGACGTCACCGGTGTGCCTAAAATTACTGGATTTCTTAGAGATTTAAGATGAAAGTCCACTGGATTTTTCTTGAGTAACTTTCAATGAACTACCGGCTTAACCTAAAAGTAAAAAAGTAAGAGATTTTTCCCTGCACCTCTCACTCTCACATAGTGTACTGTTTGCCCTACCAATCTACAGTAATCGGAAATTTATTGAAATTTTTGTAACAATACATTCGAGGCCATCAAAACCTACTCATTTTCCGCAATGCGTAGTGACGAACACCATGAGTTTGCATCCAGAGCCGTTCATGATTGTCATCTTCGTCGAAATATTTGGAGTTTGGATGTTTGCTAATTTTGAACGGGCCAATTTTGAACATCTTTTTGTTTGATTTATCATCCATTCTGGGACTAGACATCTCGAAGACGTTTTGCACACGTTGTCTGAACAAGGATGAACCTGTTCCTGCCTGATTCCAAACAGTAATTTATCCGAAATGAGATAGGTTACAAGTAAGAACTTGTTAGTCAAACTTATGCAAAGAAAAAAGGAAAGTTCTAGTCTCAGAACGGATGATACAATTTTTACAACAATGTTCAAAAAGAACAAATCACATTAGAAAGGATGAAGCGATACACGGAATAAGAAACATGAGCAGAATTTACAATTGACAGAAAATTGTGTACAAAAATTTGCGAGTGACTTGTTTTTACTTTGTAGACAATCAAAATGATATTCAACTTTAAAAGGTGGAATTGGCCTCACAAAAAATTTCAGGGGGAGGGGGAGGGGCCCTCGCGCCCACTTTTTAAGATTTCGGAGTTACAGGCCAGAGTTTTGAAAGGCAGTTCAGAACTTTGAAGCGACTGTAGCTTCAAAACACAATGGATGTCTCTCCAAAGTATTACACTGACATCTGCTGAACTCCAGACAATCGATTCGAATGTGTCTCACGAGAATAAAAAAGAAACGAATATGATTTTACAAAAGAAAGAAGCCAATTCAGAAATTATTTTAGTTTCTGATATTGCGCCGAACGAAAATCAGTAAAAATTCAGAGGTGATAGTTAGTAAGATCAAAAGTTTGTTGATTGAGACATAAGTTAGTTACCAAAGTGATGACTTTGTGAAAGTAAAGACTGAAACCAGTTCTACTATGTTATTACCGAAATTACAGAGGCAATAAATTTCAGTGAGTTGAACTGAATGTTCCATAAGGACGAGTGTTGCAAGGAGTCTAGGATTTATTGACGGTCTAGTTGGCAGAGATAAATTACGTCTCAATGATCAGCTGGTAGAAGTAGACAGGCGGTCCGACAGTGCAAGAGTGAATATCTAACTTTAACTTATTGATTCCAAGGCACATTACCTTGTTTATTGAGAATGTATGATTTTTGTTCTTTCGTGTCAGATGAGCCTAACCAATGGCCATTGTATCTGTTCATAAAAGATGATTCCTACGGTTTGGAACGCTCAATATCTAAACACAACATAAACTCTAGAATTTTCTCCGAGCTTGCTCCCGGAGCCTGTATCATTAATACATTGATATAAAACCAACAAACATTTTTAGAGCTGTACAAAAATAAAAGGGTGAATTACGCGCCAAAAAGTCATAAATCAAGCTGGATTATGTGGATTCATCCTTGAGTTAGTCTATATTTTTTTATCTTTTTCAGAGTACGGAATTCATTGCTATGCCAACGTTTTCCTGACTGACACCATTTACAGCGAATTAAAGCAAGCAAATGTCAGAAAATCCCATTTCTCAAGTCTCTCATTCTAATTGATATTTTCCCAATAATGTGGATTTCTGCATCTTAAGTAAACTTATAGAATGCTACTCGTTCTTCAACACTATCTTCCATTTTAGTACACTTCGAAGACATTTATAAATTTTTTCGTTCCAGTTGATCTCGCATCTTTGGATCGTACAATATCTAGCATTTCAAAATTCATCAACCATACTCATAACTTTTCTTCTGCTTGAAAAGAAAATTGTCTTTACTCACGTTTCTTACTACCTCTCCTACTACCTCCACCAGCTGCAGTTCTGTCTGAACAGAGGTGTTTTACCCCTCGCATTTTTTGAAGACTTTAAGTTATACTAACCTTTTTCTTCTAGTTTTTCATCGAGTAGCTGGTGTAATTTCATATTCATCTCAAGTTGTCCTTCAGCTTTCAAATGGTTCGTTGTGCTGGCCTTGTCCGATCCATTGATGTCATGACGTTCTGCAAGTAACACAGATTTTAGTGGAGACAGAAGTTTCTTTACTCGCTAAGATACGCAAAGGCGCGGCTAAAACGATTTAGAAGTTCCCAATTTTATCTCCACAAAAGGAGTTAAACGCTCAACAAGGTTCTTCTTTTGCACCTGTGCTAAAACCCTTCACAAAGCCGCATCCATTATAGATGTTCATATTTCACCAAATTATTTCTTGATGAAAGAGAACTTGCGTGATTGCGTGGAAACTAAGTGAAAAGCCTTAAATAAGCCATAACCCAAATGGCAGCTTATATAATTCATGCTGAGCTATAAAAGTTACTCTTTAACGTATGCCAAGTTACTTGTTACCATACTAGAGCAACTGGACCGCTCGGGAATTGTCAATTTTGGGCGAAGGCATAGACTTTTCTCGGTCACCGACGAATTCATGAGCTCTCGCTAAACTTGAGTGAGCCTACCATTCTGTATCCAAATGATTGGGTTGCTGCTTTCAGGTAGCGCCTTTCCAGGTTTTCGTAACTGTTTTACGAATTCGCTGTCAATTATCTCACGATGCAACTATGGTACAGTGCATGGACCTTTAGCCTTGCTAATTTGCACATACCAGACCTGACAAACCGTAGGTAGTTTGTTCATGAAAGGTCTACCCACCGTTCTTAGGCATTAGTAGAAAATGAATTGACCCATCCCAACCAAGGCCTAGACTTGCAGAGATTGTGACATGATATGGGACCCTCAAGATAAACAAGTCCTTCATTGTAAGCTCGTTTTCAAGTTTCTCACAGTTTTCACTGGAAATTTCATAACGAATTCCATCTACAGAGTAACTTCTGTATTTGTGCCTATGTGCCACTGCGGTACCAAAGTACCTAGCAGTGACGTGCCGACGTCGTGAAGGGGGCTCGCGCTGCTCGATCGACGTTTCGGCACGAAGCTAGAACGGTGCTGGTAAGGGTAAGCTCGAAAGCAGCCTAAGTGCACTTGCGAGACTATGGATGCGCCCCTGTACGACACAGTGTTTGAGGAATCTGCAATCTGCAGTAACTGCAACTAGGAGTCTTTTGAACATTCTTTTTTTATTTTGCGTGTGCCCATTGATGCCAAGTTTTTTGCTCTATCACCGTTATAATTACCCTAAGGCAGTGGATATCGCCACTGAGCGCCGCTTCCGCGGACTACTGGTCCTCGGGTATAGTATAATGCCGCCGAAAGTGGGAGGGTCCCTCGTGGACACTGCAGCAGATACTCAGCCTGCGCATGTACTGGGGTGTGTATCCGTTACGGATGTCTGGCGGGACCTCCCACTTCCGGCGACATTTAGTCCCCCACCCCTGGCCATCATATGGTATGCCCTAGCATTTATCAAAGGACCAGCAGTCAGCGAAAGTGTCGCCCTGCGCTATTGGTTCTTCTACCCCTTTAAAACTCCGCGCGCGCATCCGAGATGTAAGAAACATCCCCAGAACCTCAGAAGGACTCACCAGCTTCACTCATGCGTCGCTCGCCATTCGCGTCGTAGCGATGAATAGCAGGAATAGCAGCGGAGGCCATGTTGAGCAGTCGCTGTTGGTGCTGATCGAGCGGCAGTCGCTGTTCGCGGAGCTTCGCGCTGACGGCTGAAAGCAGGCGAGGTGAGTGGTAGAACGACTCGGGCAGGTCGTCGTCGCCAATCTCGGCCGAGTGATTGGCGCCGTGCAGCACGAGACGACGGGGCGACGTCGGCACCGGATCGCGCATCGCACCTACGGCCACGGTAGCTCCTTCCGCACACGAGCACGGGAACCCTGTACCGAACAGCGTTCAGTCACATAGTAGTGAAAAGTAAAGTCCTTTGAGAAAGAGAAAGTCCTGGAGAAAAGTTCTGGCAAGTTGCGGTAGAACTGACAAAGTGAACAATCCTAGCTATAGTCCAGTCTAGGACGAAGGCGTGTGCTTCAGCGTTGCGAGGAGGACACGGCGCGGTTGAGCATCTACCACCGCTAGACGCACGGTGCAGCTCCAATTCGCTTGCGCACCGCGCTCGCTGCGCTTACTTCATTTGAGCAACCGCCTTCGTCCAGAACTAGACTTTGAGTGAAGAAATTTTTGCCCAGTAATTGAAAACGGTTTTTATTGCTGTCATTAGAGAACAAATCAAACTCAAGCAAAAAGCAAAAATATAGAAATTTTGTCCAATTTTAATTATTTTCATGACAGGTACCGTTCAAAAAGAGCCGGAATTTGTATTTCATTGTAATATTTTTTCCAGCATCCATTGTGGAGAACCAATTTTCTGTCCAACCTTTCCTCTTGCCCTTTCACCTCGCATTTGTCTCAAATATAGGTAAAATAAAATGACAACCTTGCTGTTCAATAATAAACATCTTAGATTGGCCAATCGATTACGATAATTAGAATCCTCATATTTCAATAACAAACATAGAACAAAATGATGCCAAAGAAATTGTAGAAAATTGTACTGATTACAAATCTCAAGATTTCTTCAAATTTAATAAATTTTGCTGATTTCTCGCATAGTAATTACCCCGGAAATCCAAAACCTTTTATAATTAGGTTATGGATAAAAATACTTGCAATTTGGATCACGGCAAATCTAAGTCCTCGAAATCAATTTTGTTTGCAAAGAAAAGCGAAGTTCAGCAGCGACTCTGCTCACTACTACGGCCCCTGGGACAAGCACAAAGACTAAAACACTCGTTAGAGCTTCGCAGTGACACACAAGACTTAAGTAAGCTTGAGCGGATGCATGATAAACTAGAACAAAAAGCTTTAACTCCTTATTTGGAGGAACTTATTTTTGATCGCTTTGCGATGCCCCGAGCGAGAAAGAGCAATCTTACAATTTTATCAGTAATGGGCTAGCTGCACACCAACTTGGTTAATAATCACTCCAAATTTCTCACTCACGGAAGAGAATATTTTAGCCTTTTTGTCTGGAGAAGTGTCGTCACCATTGCCCTCTTTCGAAAAGCAGCAAAAAGAGGAAATTCGTGACTGGTATGTTAGAAGAAAAGTCGGAAGTCATATGACTTTCACGCCATTATTACAATGTCATAAACCAAGTTTCTGACTAGAGGCTCAAAAGTCAAACCCTCATTTTTCCAAGCTGAAAGTCACAGTGATTTGATGCTCATAACAGCTGCTGAGGAAGGTTCAGCTTTAGAATTTCTTACAGTGATTTTCACACCGGGAAAACGTTAGTTGAAGGTATGACTTGTTGAAAATGTTCCTCTAAAGCAAGATCAATTACGAAGATTCTGCACTTTACTCCCTTTTCTAAGGGAGGTTAATATTCCAAAAGTTTGTGCAGGTTTGGTGACTTGCTTGAAAACCCTTCCTTTTTCACAAAAATAATTTTTTTTGCCAATTGAAGCAAGACTGTCAGAAACAGTATGATTTTCTTGATATTTCCACCGTACAGAAAAGGAGATGTTGTAAAATCGGCATTTATGTTTGAATTTATGATCACACACATAGATCTATCGCTCCTCTGAACTTAGCAAATGCCATCGTGAAGAATTTACAGTGCAAGTGATGACATTCTCAATCGACATGGTCGGAATGCTTTTGTCTCTTTCTAAGATTTTTTTCGTCCGTGCACAAGATATCGTGCACGGACGAGGAGAAAACTTTGTAGAAAAAAAGCCGCAGTATTGACAGAAGGAGTCTCACAAAAATAAAAAAACAGGAGAATAAACTCTTGTACTAACAAGACAATAAACTTCTGTACTTTTGCTCTTGTAAGACACAAAGCAATAAATCATTCAACTTTCGAGCGCTGTGACTTTTTTCATGCAGAAAGGCCTCAGAAATAATTCAAAGCAATTTTTATCATTCAAGGGGTGCAATTTTGTCAGAAAACTAAGAGTTTATTGAGATTCTGAGGCGACTGAAGTTGTAGAATTCAACTTTTTCGTATTTTCAACAGTTTATTAGTTAGAAAAGACATTATACATAGCCGTAATCTGTAAAACACAACAGGGACTTTGCTTATCTATGGCAAAAAGAATTTTTGTGAAAAATTTCCAATCTAGCACTTTGAGCTCAACAGATTCATTATTTATTCGACTTTTTAGTGACTTGGAAAGAAAATTGAATTTGCCTATGACAAAGTAAGATTTTTCCTCTGCTGGAAAAAGGGTGAGGACTAAAGTGGACAGCTGCGAAACTTGGTTTTTGGAAAACTTTAACAAGTGAGAAAATTTATACTGACATTTTGTGATGAATTGCTTATTTTCATACACTTTGCAGTCAATGTAATAGACTGGAATAGTGAGATTTATAAAATGGAGAAAAAGACTAGGCAAAAAGAAAAAGCTCAGCCCCTGGCAATTAGAAAGCGTTTTGATTGATACGGTCACGTGCACATTTTTATAGCTTTGGACATTTTAATCCTCATTTTCTCACATTCTTAGCCTCGCCATCAAAAATGTCAACGGAATCGCAGATTAGCTGATTAAGCAAGTAAATCGCATGTTGTGTGAAGTTATCAAATTCTGGACGTTTTCTGGGTTGGAGGTCCAGGTAAACAAGAATGGCATGCTATGTCAAGTGACACAGAGAATTAAGGTTATCATGCCTTGAATAATGTCTTTTCCTTTTTGCGTAAGGAACAGAGAACGAATAGAGGAGAAAATGGGAAGGGATGGCCACTATGACGACACATGAGGTAACAACCTCGGCACTGACAAAAAGGGCGCTTGAGATGTAAATGCGACTAAAAGTATAAAGAATTTTTAACTATTTGCTTTAAGTTTGGAGAAGAAAATAATCGCAAATGGTGAACAAAGATGTCTGCCGCCGATATGCACCGCCTGCGAAGGGAATGACATCTAATATATAGATATGCACGATTTGTGGCAGATGTCCGCGCAGGCTAGTCCTATCGGCGACATTACTACGAACAGGCACAATCTAGCAGATTTGACGAATAATATAGTGCCGCTGCGGTGACAGCAACATTTACGCGAAAATAAATGACATGCTTGTAACTGCTTACGAGTGGCTTGCGATTTACGTGTAAAAAATGTCATGAAGCCCACATTGCCATTGTTCATGCGCAAATGTTGTTGGCAGCGCAAGAACACTATATTCATTTAATTTTATTGGGCTATATAAAGGGGGCGAGGGAAGCGTAAAATGCACCAGGAAAGTCACGATGGTAAGGAAATATGCTTTAATTTAGTGGAAATAGAAATTATTTCAACGATTGTTTTTGTTTTATCTAGATTTTTACACAGCATTGATTTCAAAGAAGGAGCTCAAGCGTGACCTAGTCAAAAATCCTCTTTTCGAAGCTATCTTCTTGACATACCCTTTGATTCAACTGGATTGCCGGCTGGAAGGCAGGGCTTCGTGACCTAGTTAAGGCTAGCAAATGATCAGAAAGCACATTCGCAAGGGAGACGCAGACGGCTACGCGGACAGAGCGGTCGCCTTTCAGCCGCCAATCTTGAATCAAAGGGTAGCTTGCATTGTTTTGATTTGTAAAGGTTTGAATGCATGAAAAGTTGGGCAAGCTTTGCACTATTTTGTCTTTCAGGTCAATTTTTAGCCAGAAAAGATTTTTTTGACTTTCAAAAGTGTTGCTAGTGTGCATAGCAAAACCGGCTTCATTCCGTTGTATTTGATTTTTCATCTTGCTAGAAACAGGGGTCAACCAGAAAATTTCTACGCTTATGGAACCGGTAATTTTGAGGATTTAAATGGTAATAAATGGTATGAGGAAGTAACAAGCGCAGCTGCATCTGCATCGAATGATAGATTTCTCCGTCTAGCCACCCACAACGGCTGAACTTTGCAACATCGCCTCCGCCGCTGCTGTCATTCCGCACGTGGACGGGGCCCCGAAAAAAAAAACGTCAAGCCGACAAGGAAACATAGAACAGCTAACAGGTGATGCAAGAAGTCGTGCGGGGCGGTGACAGATCAAAAAATCACTGCAAAAAGACTTTCGAAGATATTTCAAGAATCGCGAAGCACGGAAAATTGCACAAAATTCCATGAAAAACGAGAAAGAATGGAGCGCGAAAAAAGACAGGAAAGCAAAGGATTAGAGTCTTCTTTCGATAATCCTATGCTTATAACACACAGGCTTGGCGGTTATGATTTTATGATTTGTAATCTTAATATGCAAAGAAAAACCCTTCTTGGAAAGTCCTTTGATAGCAGGTAACTGTTATCGCCGTGACAAAATGTAGCTAATTACAATATCACAATCATAAGAGGATTAGAAAAGACAAAAAGACAAAATCAGAAGTGGAAATCGTGCAATGAGCAGAAAAGTGAGGCAATTTAAAGTCAATAATGAAAGGGATGTTTGCCTTTTTTCAATTTCGAAGGAAACAATTTCCACGAAATAGGGGAGATCTAGAAATTCGAATTTTTACATCTTTTATTAGGTCGGCCAAAAAGTAATTTGTCTGGCGGTCTGTAAGAAACTAACAGTGTTTTTATGTGAGATATGATAACAAATCGGAGAAAGGACAGAACACGTGTTTTTTATGAGGAAAAGATGTTCTCAAGTGCGGAAGGAACTGAGAAAAGAGTTTTATAAAGTGAAAAAAAATCAGATACATCAGCTCTCGATTTACTCGCAATGTAGCAAAAAGACAAATGACAGAGATGGCTCGCATCACTCTCGAGCATTTATGAGAAAATTCCACTGAGATTTAGCATTTTTTACATCGCCGAACCTATCATTATTTTTGTTAAAAATTTGTCTGTTCTCACACCACTGCAATAAAATAGTAGAGCATTGGTTCAATTTCTCAGAAAGAGATGC